CAGTCTAAGATTTAAGTTGAATATAAAAATGTACATGAATTTTTAAATGTCTTTTTTTGTTGTTTCTTTTGTCTCTCTTGCTTTAATGACAGAAACACTTGAGCTGCATGAACTACAGAAGTTTGAATAAAACCTGATGATCATGTTCTTCAGCACGTTTTTAAATTATCCAAAGAGCATCTTGAGCTTCAGTGGAAGAAAGAACATCTGATTGTCTGTACAGTGTCACAAATGTAATTATTTGGTTAATCATCTAGAAATAGTACAGAATCTAAAATAATTCTTATATACTAATAGCTTATTGTTTATTGTATTCATATAAATAGTTTTAAATAATATATATAAGCCATTTGCTGAAATTACACACATCACCTTCAACTGGACTGAAAAGGACTAAAAAATATGGGTAGAATTTCAGATAGCAGCAGGAAAATGAGGAAAAGGAAGTGGCTCAAGGACGAATCCCTCACCAACGCTTTTAATCATAAGAGATCAGTAAATAATCTGTAAGAGAGCAGTCTCTAATGCTTCACTGATCTCCATTGAGTTTCTTATTGAGATATTAAGAGATAATTATGGCTTCGCTTCCATACCCATGCCAGTGATTAAGTCCAATTCCAATCAGGGCATATTGATCAAGGTTCTGCATGCGTTCGCCGCTGACATTTCTGTCGGCTAAAGGCTGTGTGAGGTAATCACGGATCTCCCTCAAACTCTGGAAAAGAACGTGTTGACCTTTAATCATCATTCTTCAGAAATCCTCATTCACAGCACATGCCTTACACCGAAATACACAACACACGCACACCTCTTACTACACACACTCTCCTCACACTTAACTACCTGGCCACGGGGGAACAGCACCAGACATGCCAGTCTGTTTTACTGATAAGTGTGTTTTCCCACAGAAGACGTAAAAACAAAAGCAGCCGTTGCGGTTTTCAGTCCATTATCTTTACAGACGTATTTCACTTCTGAATATTAAGTATTGCTTGTGTCTTTATGGCATCATTGGACTTGCAAATAATTCTTTAAATGCGCAGAGGAGTGGTTTTACACACAAAAACTATGTTTGATGTACAGTATGTGTTTGAAGCCATGCATGTAAACTCCAGATGTTCATTTGATTCTCAGGTCTGCCATCAAAGGCTTCAGGCTGTGTGTGTGTGTGTGTGTGTGTGTGTGTGTGTGTGTGTGTGTGAGCGCATGCTGTTGTGCTTTTGTACGTATGCTGTGTGTGCCGGGAAAAAAAGGAGGGCTAAAAAAAAAAATGGAAATCTATTTCTCTTATCCTGCCCTCTGACATTTACATTTGCATCATGTTACAGTTTAGTTTTTTCATGCATTTCACAGTTGACATTACCTATAGGTGTATGTTTATGTGTATACAGTTGGTTCTAACTGCATTTGCCATTGTGTGCCCCTCACGCTTCCCTCCACATCCACCATGATCACCATGACAACAGCCCGTTTATCAGCTGCTGTTTGCGGATCAACCGAAATTAAGACAACTCCCAAATTCCATGACTTAATGGAATTACGACTATGCGTGTCACTAGTTTTGTACAAAATATGTTTGCAATCCTCCATCTGAGTTTGTGTGTTTCAGGTCATAGCACAAATCTAATAGGATAAAAGCACAGAGCTGAACGCAGGAGAGCAGAGGCCCGAATCAGAGCCCAATGCCAATTAGATTTTTCTCTGACTCCATCTTTTGTTATTTGATTCCCTCTCTGCCATTGATATCTCACTCAGATGAATGAGCAAGTAGCCTGTATTTAACATCAAACTCTCTTTGAGGTTTTATTTATTGCATTGGATGCTGTGTGTTTGAGTCTTTAGGTGCAAAGCCTGTGTTTAATTTGTTCTATTCACTACATTCAGTTTATTTTTTGCAGGACTTGTATCGAGTCTGATGATATTTCGTTTAGACATTAATCAAATCATCATTCTCAACGCTCTACACATCTATCCTAAACCTTGTGTGTTCATTTATGAATTTCAAAAGTTTTTCAGGTCAGTAAGCAAGGATGGATTAAATTGACTAGAAGTGACAGTTATGGCATATATAATGTTAGAAAAAAGATTTCTATTTCAAATTAATTCTGTTCTCTTTATTCATCTAATAATCCTGAAAAAAAATTGTTATCATGGTTTCCACAAAAATGTTAACTGTTTTCAACATGGATGATAATAAGAAATGTTTCAAAAGTTGGAACTGAATCTGTTTTCTGATTAGTTCACAGATATTTCCTCTCGCAATGCCTGTTTTAAACACTCTCATAATAATCTCTCATTGTTTATTTTCATGTCAGACGACATTGATTTTTAACAAACCAGATTCTGTGACAGCTTTATTCCCTCAGTTTTGTACACAGTATCTATATATGTATTCTTGCTCTGCCTAATGGAAAGTAATTATCCCTTGTTTCCGCTGTAGTAGAACTGCGATTGAATCCAATAGCTAATTACCTCTGAGTCTTTGGTCTGTGTGTGTGTGTGTGTAACAGTGGTCATATCCATTTGTTCATTTCACTGTTTTAAATATTCAAACCCATATATGGTATCTTAGCGACAATGTGATTACCGTGTGATTTATGTGATCAGGTTGTTGTTCCAGCTTGCATCTCACCTACTTTTCACTCTCATCTTTGTATTTCCCCTTGCGTCCCACTGCCAAATCAAGATAAAAAAAAGAATTTCTGAGAGAGAGACAGATGTTCTCGGTTCAAAATAACCTTTTCTTTTTAAGTTTTTGATGACTATATTTAGTAACGTAGGCCTGTTCTGCTGAATGATGCTTTATGATTGTCATCCTTCCTTTCAGAGCAGCGGTCAGCAGCCTTTTTGACTTATTCCTGAAGTTAGATCGTCACTTCATAAGGTCTTTTTTTTTCAGAAAAAAGATGTGTGTATTTGTTTGCAAGAACTACGTATCATTTTCATCTGAATAGATGAGACGTTCAGCCGTCTTTGGCCCTGAACCAGTTACATTCTATTCTCTGCCTCTATCAATGAGATTAACTGTGCGTTTGTATGAGGCTGTCAAGTAACAGTGAGAGAGGACTCAATGCAGAATGAGTTTTAAAACAGTTTATTGAGACACACAGCAGGCGGGACAAGAGATGCTGGGAGAGGAGGTTAACACAATCCAACAGAAGGCAAGGAATGAAGCATAAAGACCAACTTGACTTGAATTTGACATTGACTTGACCCACACAACAGGAAACGTAGGCAGGAACAACATACGACAAAATCCACAACTTGAAACAATGGGGAAGAAAGCAAATGAGGCAATGAGTAACACAGATAGCACAACACACTCAATAACAACGAACTGGCAAACCATGGAGAAAAGAGAGCACAATAAATAGCAATCAGAGAACACGAGGAACAGGTGAGCACACTCGGAACATGAAGATTTAACAAGGGCTTAAACAAGGGGGCATGGTAACATGAAAACAAGGAGGCTGGACGAGAGGAACACATGGCCAACACAAACAGAGACAGAGCCATGTGCTCAAGCACAAAACAAACAAGGAAACATTGAAACAAGACAGACAGAACAGACCGATGAGAACCCTGATATGAGGCATTTTGGGAAATCTCTGCAACAACTTCCCCCACATCGTCCATCTTTCTCAATGTTAACATTTTCTCCTGCGGTTCATGATACTGTTTCACAGAAGGTTCTGCTTTTCACTGGAACACAATAGCTATTTTGAAAATGTTCTTTAGAAACACTGCACAGTTTGATCTGCTAGTTGTCAGTACATGCAGAGGTTGTGCAAATGAACTCAATTAATCAGAATAAAATGTGTGCTAAAATGTGTTGGATTTTTATAATAAACTTGGTGTTATATGTCCATTATCTCTTTGAATGATGATCTAGACCAGTGTTTCCAAACATTTTTTTGGGTGTGTACCTCCACAGCCCCATCAGTCTGGTACCATTTCATTGACATGTGAAAACATAAAAAAAATGCATCCATTTTGACTTGCACAGTGCACACAACATTATTATTAATAGTATTAAAATGGTCATTATTACAATGATTAACTTTTGAAATAAAAAAATCACCAAGTAGCTTTTTTTTCTCTATTAATATGAGATACCTGAGCTTGTTTGTGTTTGACAAGTTTTGACAGTTCTGGGTAAACTTTATGGAAAAAAAAACGGATTTAATCCACTCCACATAGGACAAAAGTGATTTTAATTTTTGTACAGTGGAATTTAAATTCCATCAATTTTAACTTTACATGGTAGCACTTTATTTTAATGTGTCCTTGTTACACGTTACATTTATTTCTTATAGTAATAACTATAAATTAGGCATAATTACATACAACTAACCCTAATCCTACCCTAACCCTATAGTAAGTACATGTAGTTAATTAATATTACTCAGTACTTAAATGTATAATTCCACTAACAGGGACACGTTCAAATAAAGTGTAACCGTATTTTCAACTTGCAATGGGCAGCTAAGGCTACATGTTTAACAAAGCAAAATTAAAATCTTTCTGAGGTTTTCCCCCATATTTAAAAATGTACATTTACAAACATGTTCAGTGTGACATAATAGTACAATATATTAAATTCTTTATTTCTTCAAGATTAAAGAATTTAAGGCTTAAAGAAATTAGTTGTTTGAACGAATGTGTTTTTTTTTTTCTCACTAAAAGAACATATGGATTAATATTTCATTTATTTTCCCCAAAATGAGCTGGTGCTTTCAACATCCACATATTTGGATGCAGTAAGATTCACAGAAAATATCTTATGCCGTATTTGAAAATGGATTTCTTTCCAAGTTTTATGAAAATATAGATCTGTTGATTTAATAGATCAACATCGCCCTCTAGTGTAGATATAAAGCAGTAATCTCACATAATTTAGGAAGTACTCCTACTTTGTATTGAGAGCAGTTTCAGTGCAAAGATTTGACATAAGTGTGAGATGAATAAACATAAACTGAATATTTTCTCTTCTTGCTCAGAATATGCCCAGGCTGCACGATGGACTCCAACAACACAGAGTTGGGCCTGTACTCGGCATCCGACGCCCTGGGAGTGGGAATCTACCCGGAATCCACTCCGTGGCCACTGCTCCAGAACACAAGCCTCATCAACCTCAGTGCTGTTTTCAAGCTCAATGGAAGTAATGTTGAGGTTGAAGGTCAATCCTATGATCCTCTGGGCGGCCACTCACTCTGGCAGGTCATTCTCATTGTTATCTTTACAGGACTGCTGTCCCTTATTACTATTATCGGCAACATCTTGGTCATGGTGTCGTTTAAAGTCAACAGGCAGCTTAAAACAGTTAACAATTACTTTCTACTGAGTTTAGCCGTTGCAGATCTCATCATTGGGGTCATCTCTATGAACTTGTACACGGCCTACATCATCATGGGCCAGTGGGCAATGGGAAACTGGGCGTGCGACTTCTGGCTAGCCATAGACTATGTAGCCAGCAATGCATCTGTCATGAATTTGCTGGTCATTAGCTTTGACCGCTATTTCTCCATTACGAGGCCTCTGACGTACCGTGCCAAACGTACCACCAGGCGGGCAGGAGTGATGATCGGCCTGGCATGGTTTGTGTCGCTTATACTTTGGGCACCTGCTATTTTGTTTTGGCAGTATTTTGTTGGAGAAAGGACCGTTCCACCGGATAAATGCTACATTCAGTTTCTCTCCGAGCCCATTATAACGTTTTGCACCGCAATGGCGGCCTTCTACCTGCCGGTGACAATAATGAGTGTTCTGTATTGGCGAATATACAAAGAGACGGAGAACCGTTCTCGGGAACTTGCAGGATTACAAGGCTCGGGCGCACGGTTTGTGGGTGTCGAACGACCGCGTTTCCACCTCCGCGCTACTGGGGGGAGCTCTAGAAGCTGCAGCAGCTTCGAACTGGGCCAACCTGGCCACAAACAAAGCTCCTTTCATGGTCTGAGCGGCCGCTTCCACTGCTGGGGGTGGAAGTCGGGTGGCAGGGATAAAGGTGGCCCACACCGGGAGGCGGATCAGAGCAGCAGTGACAGCTGGAACAACAACGACACTGGACTTTCAGCCGACCACTCGGGCTCATCTGACGAGGACGAGAGCGCGCCATCCACCACACGGGCGATCTTCTCCATTGTTCTCAATCTGCCTGGCATGAGGGCAGCTGTAAGCTCCCAGGTTACTTCTTGTGAGGATTTGGACACGGAGGAAGATCCGTTACAGTCGCCTGAAGAGAAGGACGGCAGGGCTGGCAGCATCTCGTGCTCCGTCACCAACGGCAACAAGCGTTTTGTCGCAAGTATGGGTAAAGTTCCGTCAATGTCCTCCATACAGCCTTCAATAAATCCAAGCGCAGATGGTGGGAACACCACCATCAAATCTGCCTCAGCGCCCATAACTTTCAAAGAGGCAGCTCTAGCAAAGCGTTTCGCAGTTCGTGCAAGGACTCAAATCACCAAGCGGAAGCGCATGTCGCTAATAAAAGAAAAGAAAGCGGCACAAACTCTAAGCGCCATCCTTTTCGCCTTCATTATAACGTGGACGCCTTATAACATCATGGTGCTAGTAAACACTTTCTGCAATGGCTGCATACCTGAGAACCTCTGGGCGTTAGGCTATTGGCTATGCTATGTTAACAGTACAGTAAATCCTATGTGCTATGCACTTTGCAACAAGACTTTTCGTACCACTTTCAAGATGATCCTGCTATGTCGCTGGGATCAGAAAAAAAGCAAGCCAAGCTTTCCACAAAGACAGGCTGTGAGGTTTCACAGAAGTATACCAACAGACTCTACATAGCAGCTCAGTGGTGAGGCTAAATTGCTAATCCTAAAATGTAAGTTGTAAGGGGAGATTCCTCAAGTATCTGTAGTATATACTGAAGCGTTAATGTGTGAGTGTCAATGTGGATTTGTAGTTCAGTCTCTTAGGATCCCTGGTCACTAGATTTTAACATTAAGGCACTGTGGTTTAGTGTACAAAGAGCTTCACACCTGAGCAAGTGCAATTGCCATAAATACTTCCTGTGACTTTTATACTTTATGCCTTTAAAACGGCAGTGCCAACTTTCAGGAGTTCAGCAGCAACGTATCCACCTTATTCCTACGCCCCATGACGCTTTGCGCGAATTATGGGTGTAACTTCCGTTAAGCTGTAAACAATCAGTGAAAGGCTCGCTCTATGCACGCAATACGTTAAAAAAGTGTCACAATGAGATGACATTAATCATCTCACCCTTCAACCATCGAACATTAAAATGAAATTTTAAAGTTTAAAAGAATCAACAAGGTAGCCTACTTTCAACAGACCAAAAATAGCCCCAAAAGCGCGAGTTTTTGGTTAAATATCACTGTAGTCGACAAATATATTGTAAAACAAGCCTTAATCAAAAATGTTCATTAACTTCAGCATTACGTGACACTATATCAAAGTGACTTCCGTCATTTTGACAGATTATAAATTGCATTTACCTGAAAACAAACCTGGAAAGAAACGTGTGGATTTGAGGAGAATAACGAGAGATTCTTCGTGCATTCCAGTGAATTATTATCGTAAATTAAATTCGGGAGAACAGACCACAAATGTGCCGTATATCATGTTGTACTTTTTTCATACTTTTACAGCGGATTGCAAAGGAAAAAATAAAAATCATCTTGAGGAAAAGAAAGCAGCGACTGAAAAGAGCTCTTGCCATAGATATTCTTGTTATAACGTGTCACGTTAAAATACCAAGTATAACGTTATTCTCATGATGTCTGAAAATAAATCATGAAGGAAAATCGACAGCTCATCCAGTCAAACTGACAGATCAGCTTTATTTGTAGGGCAACCTTATGATTTGAAATGATTCGTTTCAGCCTTTTTGAATGGAAGTTCCCCAAACTGGAAGTGCCACCCATAATTCAAACCGCAGTAAGGTCGTCAGGAATAAGGTGGATAGAAAAGTACATTTAAAATGGAAACTGTGTATCTTGAACCTCAGAGAGTTGATCGGATCCGATACTCTCAATTAATTGTTTAAATATTTTAGGGTTGAATATTAGATATCTCATTCTTGTCAATGAACAGAAACTAAAATGTGATTTATTATTTTCTTCAAATAAGGCAATGTATATCAAAGTATTTACGGTAAATAATAAGATATTTCTTTTTGTAAGTGAAATTTGCTGATTTCTGTGAAAGCGTCCCACACAGAGGTTCAGTATCTTTGCTGTCTTGGTCTTGGTAAGTGTAAGTGTTCTTCTGCAACATGTGAGCCACAGTTGAACACTTAATAGGTTTTTCTCTCCTGTTGAGATTTTTGTTTATACATAAACAGCACTTCCGTAAGCTGCTCTTGTATAATGCGTGGTTGTTTACATTTGTTTTGCTACAAGTATTTCAATAGCTATTATGTACGTTTTCAGTGCACATTGAATATGTTTGTATATGTTTGGAATGCCTTATGTTTGAACTTTGAGATTGTGCACTGATTATACTGGGCTAGCTGTGAAATCATTTATGAAACCTAAAGAATGTTTTTAACTCTGTTTAATCAACATTCAGATTTTGACAGTAGTGTGCTGGGATGTAATTCCATTTACAACCAAACTGTTTGTTTTATCATCACCTTATTTTGGAGTGCCAGGTTTTTACATAACAAGCCAAATTTGTTAGCCACAGTAGCTGCATATTTGCTTAATAAAAAGCACACCAAATTTAGACCTATCAATCAAACATGCATGTTTTTCAACTATGGGCTCTGCTGGCCCTGTGGAGAAAATAAAATATTTTTTTTTTAAAACACCGATTATTTAAATTACCCACTAACAATGTCCAACAGTGGACTTCCAGTACATGGATTTTCATGTTTCTAAAACGTCATGTATATTTTAAACACAATGTCATTTCCATCACATCTCAACTGATGTGTTGTTTTTAATTATGCGATGGAAGTCACATTTTAAACATTTGTGAAATAAATGGTCTTCTCTTTTTCTTGCTAAGGCTAATTTCATAGCTTTTTATGTATCCTAAAAATACACAATTAAATAACATTCTTCACACTTTTTGTCAAAATTAATTGGAAAAAATGAAATATTCTTTGGAAATTACACAAATTTTACATTTACCATTCATTTCCAACCCTGGTGTTTTGAGGAATTACGAATAATTGCCTGATTTGTAACTTAGCTGTCAATTGTATTAGAGAAATGAAACTAACTTTTTGATATGTTTTTATGTTTTACATTGCAAAAAAGGCTGTAAGTTTTGTAAGGCCTTGTAAGATCAAAGTTAAAATTGAGCTTCTGTGCGGTGTTGTTTGTGATTGTGTGCGCGTTATGTTCCAAATTGGCTCTGTACAAGTCAAAGTTTAATGATAGAGTTACTGTCAAATTTGTAATAACTGTTGAATGTTTCAAAAATACAGCCCAGTTCAAAATGCATTTTTATCCTCAGATTGTTTCTCAAAATAAATGTAACATTTTAAAAATGCATCATTGCTCTTAGTAAATACACAACATGTTTGTGGAAACTTGTTTGTTGGTTTTTTTTTTAAGGCATAAAGACCTAACACTGTCTGTTTATGAAAGAAGATGCACCAATTGCTATTGGCGGCATGTAATAGGAAAAGAAGCCATGTGATGACAGTACTCATGTGATCTATGAAGAGGAGCAGCACAGCCAATGTCACAAACACTTACTTGATCCCTCAATTTACTGGAGACTCCATCGAGGCAAGTATGCATTTTCTTTTGGTACCTCTCTTTTTATGCTTTTCTATCTTGTTAGATTAATTCACAGCAACAGGTTTCCGGTTCATTCTTGATGTCGGGTTAGATCAATTCGGATTAGCAGTGAATTTCTAGACTAATCGTACGGAAGTAAAACTGAGCTCGTACACTGACTGATGTGTGGAATTAATCTGAGAGAGATGTATCACTATGTAATAAGGCTTATCAATAGGTTCATGCCTTATTGATGAAAACTTATTAAATTTTTTTGTGAAGATTGTGTATATATTTTAGTGAAGATTGTATATAGATAGTGTATATATATATTTTTTTTTTTGTGAAGATTGTGTGTGTGTGTGTGTGTGTGTGTGTATATGTATATATATATATACATATCTATATTAGTAAAGTTGTACTACTTGACTATGATCTCTGAAATTTTGTTCAGCACTTATCTTTTTTTATATGAAAATGTCACATTTTCTCCAGGCACAGATAAAAGCTATGTTCTGGATTAAAATGAATATTGTATAAATCTGTTGAGAGCTAACAGGAACGTGTCTGATACTACAAGGCTGGAGGACAACACTGATTTCAGGCCTGCTGGCCACAGTCGTACATCAGTTTATGAGATCAGTCTGTAAGCTCACATGATACTGCTCTGGCGCAAACACACACACACACACACACACCGATGAAATTCCTGTGCTATTTTCAGACATTCAGTGTGCAGATTTACATGGACTATATAGAAAAAAGAAATACAAAAATAAATCATAATTAATTTTTTTGTTTATTATTATTACATAAATGAAATGCTTAATGAATGAGGTTTTGAGATTAAATGAAAGAAAAACTTTTTCAGCTTTTTTTATTGATTTTGTTCATGTAAAGCAAAGATTTACCAGTATATTTGGAGTTACTGTGTGTTTTATAATCAGTACGTTGTGCTTTTTTCTAAGTAATAATTAACACTTTACTTAAAGAAATAGTTGACTTTTAAAATGAAAATTCTGTCATCATTTCCATCAAGTTGTTTCAAACCTGTATGAATTTCTTACTTCTGCTGAACACAAAGGAAGATATTTTGAAGAATGTTCAGTAACCAGACAGTTAATGAGCCCCATTGACTTCCATAGTAGGAAAAAATACTAAGGAAGTTAATAAGGGTACATCAACTGTTTGGTTACCGACATTCTTCAAAATATCTTTTATGTTCAGCAGAAGAACTTGATGACAGAATTTTCATTTTGAAGTGAACTAATCCTTTAATTTGCTTTTCAAATGCAAAACAAACACAAACTTCTTACTTTCCATAAAAAGTAACAATGTTGTATAGTTACTTTTTAAGGTGATATACAATAATATAACATGCTACATTTAAAAGTAAATCCTAAATTCTGCTCTTTACAATAGAAACGGTCTTTTTATTTATTTTACTTTGTTTTGCTCAGTTTTAATCTATTTGTTTCATCCTCCCAGGTCAATATAGCAAGAAACAAAATGCAAAACATTCAGACGATAGAGATGCAGCTACCTGTCCTGCGAGAGAGTTTCCACTCTTCTCCCTTCAGAGAGAGAGTGAAAGAACGGAGGAAGAGCAGCCTGACAAATCTTATCAGAAGACAACAGCAACAGTTATTACGCCAGCAACAACAATCAGAATTGCATCAGAAGCAGCAGCTGTCCCCAGCCTCACAGCACCACACTGGACATGCTCAGTTGGTCCGCTCCTCCAGTAGCCCGGCGGAGCAAATAGATGAGCAAGAGAAAGTGAAAGAGATTGGGAGGCAGGGGGAGCTGTCTCTCAGACAGTCCTCAGCTACAGCGTCACAGCCAGCATCATCACGGCAGCTGCTCTCGGCGGTGAAGAGAGAGAGAGAGGGATTAGGAAAGGAGGGGGAGAGGGAAATAGGAGAGAAGAGAGAGCAGCAGAGAGAACAAGAAAGTCAGTCTGAGCACACACATTCCCAGCATGGCCTGATTGCTAAAGGTGTTCGCCTTCTGAGGAACATGGGAAACCAGGAGGCCAAGCAAAAGAAGCCTACCATCACAACTGGAGTGGAAGGTGCTGGGAATTGGGCGAGCACTGAGGACCGAGACCATGAGCATCTCAAGAAGATTAAGAAAAGTAAATTACCGAGCGACTCTGGCAAGAAGAAATCCAAATCGGAGGGCTCCAAAAGTTCTGTATTTTCCAACATCCGTATCCGCAAGGGCCTATCCCGGAAAGTGTTGTCCAAAGAGGATGTACTGGATGGTGGGATTAGGATTAAGAGCGTGGATGCCAACGACAGCAGCAATGGTGGAATATCAGGTGATGAGCTGGAGGGTCTCACTCCAGACAGTAAACAACTGGTATCAGAAAGCAGGCAGTCGAGCCTGGACATGACTGAAGATGATTTTAAGAGAGAGACTGAGGGATCGGGGTCAGATACAGACCTCTACAGCTACCACTCAGCCACTGAGGCTCAGGATCTGCTGTTGGATATTCAGAGGACCATCAGACAACAGCAGCAAATGGAGGGAGTTGCTGAGGGGCAAAACTGTAGCGATGCGGTCAGGGAAGGACAAGTAGGGTCCGTAGGCCAGGTCACTCCGGGTCTTACTAGTAGTAGCTTTGCTTGTATGGGTGAACCAGAGAAGGTAGGAGGAGTATCTGCTTCTGACAGCAAAGAACAAGATCTTAAATGCAGTAGGGATACAGTCGGAGGAGTGATTACGACATTAAAGGTTGAGCAAGGTGGCGATGTGACTGATATTGCAAATAAAGCTGTACACTTGACCAATTTGGCCAATGACTATAGCATTCAGGATACTTTTACTGAGACAAGTAGTGTCCAGGATATCTTAGCTGTTACCAGATCAACCAGTAACAACAGTTTTCAGAATACTACAGAAACATCCACCTCCTACGAGAGCGCTGAGGAGATCTTGGAGAGTTCATCTTTATCATCTCCTCTTGAAGAGTGCCATTATGGCAGCAATAGCCTGACCCAAAGCCTAGAAGTTGGTCTCAATGCAAATAATCAGACCAGCTCAACATCCAAAATCAGCCGGGTCATTTTCATACCACAGAAGAGCATTAGTAGTGTAGAGCTGAACGTAGAGGGTGATGGTGGTGTAGAGGAGGTAGAGCGAGGGTGTTCCAACCAACAAAGAAGGAAAAGCAGTGCCGCGGCTATCACACAGTGGGCATCCGAGAACTTTTTAGGCTCAGGGTCACGACCACGTAGAACTTCCAGTGCAAACCTTGGGGTTAAACCTTATCCCACAATACACACTTCTTACGTTAAAACAACCACCAGACAGCTCACTTCACCCATAATATCTCCTTCCCCAAGCCCTATGTGTCCTCGCAGGGTTGTCTTAGATTTAGGCTTAGGTCAAGGGTCATCCAGAGCAGGGAGCTGGAGAGCACGGAGACAGCGGTCCTGTAGCATTGCCGGTCCAGTGGGTTGCCATGATGAATGGTGTGAATCCATACATGTTCAATCAGAGCTTATTGAGAGTGGCCTCCAGACCGCCAGTTCGAGGTACACACCCTCCGCCTTTCCAGATGTGTTTTCAGGTGAGTCAGTGTGTGTTATGAGTTCACACTCATAGTTAAAAAGAGACCTGATTTTAATTTTAGAATACATTACATGAAACTTGCCCAGAATTTGCCCCGAGACTGCCCATCATACACTACACAATTGTTTGTAAAAATGGTCAACTCTAACAGAGTCGACTGTTTTCACAGACAATCACATATTGTATGATAGGCACAGGCTATCAAACATGAGGACATCAAACATGCTTGATATTTTAAGCTGACTTTCAAACATTCATTTGTCACACATCTCCTAGAAATCAGGAGCATGTTTCTGTATAAGTTTGTTGTGTACGGAATGACTTAAAAGCCAGATAGGGTGTGATCCTCAGTCATAGTGCATGATGCATTTCTTCTCTAAAACCATTTGCAAAGTTCCCAAGTATTTTAAAATCTGTTCATTGTTTCATGTACATTTATTGTTCAGTGTTTAAATGTAGTGTGTTTCAGCCCTTAGTCCAGGGGTAGGCAAGTTCGGTCCTAGAGAGCCGCTGTCCTGCAGAGTTTGGCTCCAACACTGAAAAAAAACCTCTCCTGCCTATAGCCTTAGTAATCCTGAAGACATTGATTAGCTTGTTCAGGTGTGTTTGATTAGGGTTGGAACTAGATTCTGCAGGACAGCGGCTCTCTAGGACCGAACTTGCCTACCCCTGCCTTAGTCAGATGCTGTTTAAATTGTGATTTTTGTCAAGTGAGATCCATGTTCCTCGATCAATATCCTTATTGGTCCCGGAACACCATTCATATCAACCAGTCCGATTTTATAGTTAGGTTTAGGGGTATGGGTCTTGAATTCATGAACATTATAATTATACTCTGATTTTAGGTGTAGGGTTAGGGTCAGGGTTGACAGGGTTAGAGAGAGGATTTTTACTGTTTGTTTGACAGGAATGTTGTGCCCAGACCCCCCAAAAAAGATGTTGGAATATATTTTCACAACACATGCGAGGTAACAATGTTGTCACAGACATTTTTTTTTGTTTTCAAATCAGTGATTCTCTGAACTATTAATGTGTATAATTCCATGTCATAGGAGAAGACAATATAACAGTTAGTAGCCTGGGCATGATATAAATCTCTTTTTCTTTTTCTGTACTTTATTCTGGTTCATTCCCCTCAATGCTCAGTGAGCAGTCAAAAAACATAAAACATGGCTCTCAAATATGTATGCTACACACACAATCCCACAGAAACACACAGACACACATTAGCTGCTGGCTAGGAAAGCTCTGGCTTCTGCCTCATTGAGTCAGAGTGCCACAGGAAGTTACTCAAATACACACTTGTACAAAAGCACACACACACTGTTTTAAAGTGGTTTATGCATAGAGACTGCTCTTAACAAACCATTCATGAAGGTTACACCAGGACAAATCAGATACAAAGGAAGAGAAAAAGATTTTTTAAAAAGATGAGATATGAACACTTCAAAAGAGGGCCTTTTTCAATTTTTACCTGTTCACTTCCTGTCGAGATACTAAGCTAGCATCCATTATCTGAATGTGTTTATAAAGCCTTGAAGATATTAAAGCATCAAATGCTAATTGAGCCAAAGGCTACATGTCTTTGAAACTAAAAAGCACAATTGTGCACAATAAAGCATTGTCCACGATCTGAATATAATGCTAAACCTGCTGTTTACAAGAGTAAATATAATGTTTCAAAATCTGATTTGAACATTTTCATTCTCGTTAAAATGTTGTCATATTCATTAAATGCTATACATAAATTCATGTTTAAACAGACTCGAATATTTATTTTCATAACATTGCATACTTTTTTATATAGTGTACTCAACACTTGCTGCTGACTGCCTCAAACTAAACTTGAAGATTTTAACCTACTTAAAATAATTTGCTTGATCAAATTTAAGTTAGTTATTCTTTTAAAGCATTATCAGGCTGCTAACTTTGTTTATAGGTCAACTAACAAAAATCTGTGACAGCCGAGCCATGACATCCGAATTTAGTTCATCCACAATCTTTTTCTTTTTTTGCTCAATAGACGATACATGATGATTATCTAACAAGTACCACCCCCCAACACACACGCGCCTTTTTTTTTTTTTTTTTTTTTTTTTTTTGCTGCTTATTGATGTTGCACAAAATCAGCCTCTCTACCAGGGTGTGATATGAGACCCCAGGATGAGCTATTGAGTTTGTGTCCACCTGATATATTAGAGAGAGGAAGTTCAGGTGTAGTTTTGTGCTTGGGGTGGACAAATATTCCTTTCAGGAACATGCACACACACACACACACACACACATGCTTCAGTTCACCAAATGAAATGGCACCATTTTTCTGCTTTATTTGTTTGTCTGACTCAAAGCGTCAAACACTCTAGCCAGGAAAAAATGTGTTCAATGAGGAGTCTATAACAGAAGAACTTAACAGTTACATACAAATGCAGTATTTTCACCTTCTATGTTACTTTCAATAAGAATCTTCTCTCTTTCACTCTCTTACAGGTCGTTCTCTGTTGGAGAGGTGTTTGGTACAGTGGGGTTGTTCTGAAGATGACACACAGGATGCTGAGAGATTCTGTTCCCGTATTCTGGCTATGGGGATTGTACAACCCTTCAGTGACTGCATCAGGGAACTGCCGACAGGAAGTGATGTCACAGATAAGCCCAATTTCAATGTATGACCATCCAATTCTTGTCTCTTGCTTTATAAGGACACTCTTCCACATTTTATCATGCAAATTTCACAAAAAATCCTTATTATTGTTTTTTATTTAAGCATCTGAGATCTATTCTGCCATGTATTCTTTGCCTGCAATGACATCAGTTGTAGGATCTCTATAAATATATGCCTTCATATTTCTATTATGAAACATAAACCACATTTAAATGCAGTTTTCAAGTGCTGAAATGACTTAAATGCATGTGTAGAAAGTGGTGGAGTGTCTTGTGCATTTTTCTTGCTGCCAGTAGTGCAAGTGAGGCATGGACTGATATGAATTCACACAGGTCCATTTGACCCACTTGAAGTGATATTCAATGTATAATTTATTCCAAATCACTTTTTTTTTTTTACAGTGTACCAGATGTCTTTTCAGGCCAATGTGTTGTCCACTTGTTCACGTTGACTTGTTATAAAAATTGATGTTACATTGGTTTAAGTTTAGATTTAAAAAATAAATTAGAACATTTTGATTATGCCATATTTAAATGAAAGGGATAGTTCACCCAAAAATGAAAATTCTGTCATCATTTACTCACCCATATGTAGTTCCAAACCTGTATGAGTTTCTTTCTTCTGTTGAACTAAAAAAAAAAGATATTTTGAAGAATGTTGGTAACCAGTTGACCAGTATCCTCAATAGTAGGGGAAAAAAATACTATGGAAGTCAATGGCTTCTGTCAACTGTGTTCAGCTGAGGAAAGAAATTCACATGTTGGGTGAGGAAATTAGGAGACAATTTAAATTTTTGGATGAACTACCCTTGTACCCGTCCTGATTTTAATGATGATTTTGACTAAATATATTAACACAATGTTCAAAACTGAATCCATACATCGTTCAGCACAGGTTTTGTCTGTGAGCTCAGTGCTGAATTGCATTAGTAAGAAGCAGAAAAGCTGTTGATGAGTGTTACTAAAAATGTGCCAGATTTCACACATCGTATATCACTTCGTTGAACAACCCACAGAGTTGATTTTGCCTGAACAGATGTGAGATGAGCAGGGTAACTTTGTGCCATTGTTTGAGACAGAGGAAGAGAGGCTCATTATGTATTTATTATCTTATGCATGAGAAAATAGTGTGATTTTTTTTATTTATTTTTTATCCTGCTAGGTTACACAAGGCATGTTGAGATTCTCAGTTGAATGTTGTAATACAGTACTGTATGTGAGATTAATCTGCTAGAACATTGCAGCAATGTTCTCATGTTTCTTTGCTCGGCCACCCCATGTGACCTGAATAGAACGAATCTCTCTCTTTACTCTTTTGCTCCGCCAGTCAAAGCAGATTTGTGTCTGAACAGATGAACATTTAACACCGCTTCTGCGACTTGCCCTTCCCCCTTTCTATTTCACCACACACATATACACACCTTCTAACCCGCTTTAGCAGTATGAACACATATTCATGTTGTGAGTGTATATTTATAGACGTCCACGACACGCTTTCACAAATATGCGTAAATATGTGCATCCGGTGCTTGTGCACACTTAAATAGACACATCTGCATGCATTAGCCATCTGACCAGGTTACATAAGATGGGTCACATGCCCTCTGTTGCTGCTCCATCTTTGTATTCATCTCTCAATATAGCAAACATATATTCATTATCCATTTATCATCTATCCAGCTGCTTATGTGTGTATTCTTATACCTATATTCCTCAATATTTTGCTTCCACCTATCTAAATGCAGTGGAATCTCTTTAGTTACAGTAGGTTTTTGAGCAAAAACAATATCATAGGCTTCAGTGTTTGACTCAAGCTATTCAGCCTACTCAGGCTGGCAGCCAAATACACCTTAATGTTTCTTAAGGGCAGTGGAAAGTAGACCTTGTCATTTTATTGTGTAAATGAGAATGTAAATGAGGAGGTTCTGTATTAATAATCATCTACTAATGACACATTCAGTTCTCATTATGCATCATTCGCTCAATTTGAATTAAGTAAAAATATATTTCTGTTCCAAAGTTTCATTCCAAAGACACTTAAACACACTCCTCTGGTAATTAATTTAATCACCACTTTTTATTGTATTATACTTATCCCAGAGCAATGTTATTTCTTTGAATCTGTTCAGACAAGTGTTTCTCTTGACCCTTGTCCAATCGGCAGTCATGTTTTAAATTCTCCCTTTCCATGTAATGGAACTCATTTCAATATTTTCTGTTCTGTTTAGTTCTGGCCTGTTGTACACCTTTCCAATATGGTGAGATACTGTGCAGACACTTGATCCGAGTGGATCGCAGTTGAACTCCAGCGGAAACTGACCTGTTTAGAGGTGGTTCTTGATCAGAGAAGTAGACAACTTCTTGTGCTGTGCATTAAAGTTCATTAAAAACTGAAAATCTGTAAATCTGTGCACCATTCGCATGCTGTTCCAAATTCATATGCCTTTATTTCTTCTGTGGAACACAAAAACTGAAGGTTTGCAAAATGTTCATGCTGCTTTCTACAATATAATGAAAGCTGATGATGACCAGGGGCTGTCAAACTTAAAAAAGGACAAAACAGCACAATAAAAGCATAATTAAAGTATGCTATAAAACTTGTGCACTTTATTTCATGTCTTTTGAAGCCATACAGTAGCTTTGTGTGAGGAACAGTCTGAAATGTATGATTAATTTAAAACTTGTGTTTCATTGCATGAAAAGAAAAACTGGAAAGACATTTAATTTTGAGTAAATTACAGAATCATTTTTGGGTGAACTGTCCCTTTAACACACACTGCTGCTCAGTGACTGAAATAACTTAACAGTAACCCTGTTGTGCTGGTAGATGGCAGAGCATGACTTAATACTGTGATTTCACTCTAATGACTGTCTGACTGTTGTATGTAGCCTAGACAGATTTCATCAACAAATTCACAGGTATGATGTAATAGATGCATGTTTCTATAGCCAACAGCCATTTCTGTCAGGACCACTATCGTCAAATACGATTGACAGTTAGCATACAGTTAGAATTGGCGGTATGGTTATGTTCTCGGCGAGAACTCCCTGCGCATCCATGCAGCCTAGCATGGATAAAAGCAGGGAGAGCAGCAATAACCCCCCTATAGGGTAAACAGAACAGAACCAACATGAATGTATTGCAGATATCCTTAAATTAATATTTTAATGTACAACATAATTTGAGAATTTAGTCTTATTCAAGGGGAATCAGAATACCAAATCCTGACTGAAGAGAGGAGCTGGGGATGGAGGAGGGTAATTTGCTCCTGAGAAACGCGATAGATGCTGATAATACTGAAGGAGCTTATATATGGATACTGTAAGAGGCGTCGTATTCCTATAGGTAGACATGTATCAGCTGAGAGACAGCTGATGCGAGCTTGACTAACATGACCTGCCAGAACTGACGCTACGCTTGATGTTTGTGTATCAGGTAGCGTTATAGTATTCCAGACCGGTCTTGGACTTGTCTCGGTCTCAACCACATTTGAACTCGATGTCTTGTCTCAGACTAAGAGGACTCAGGATTTTATTTCAAGACCAGTCAAGATCACAACTACGGAATGAATCCGCTTCTTTGAACTAATTGGTTGAATAAATTATTCAGTGACTCACTCATTAAGTGATTTGCTGCCACCTACTGCCTGTTTTAGTTTCATATTTAAAAGTATCATTTTATTTTTCCATCATATTTGTATCAAACATGTATTTTTTAAAACATTAATCTCAACTTTATTTATGCAGTTGTAATTGTACAACTTCAGATGCACCTTCTGTGCCACCACTGCAGTGCAAAGATTAATTTAGTAGTTAGTGATTTATTCCAATTGTATTTATTGATTAAATAAAATACATTTCTCAGGCTGTAAATGTGTACTTTTTAGATGAATTTGACGAGTGCTGGTCTGCTCTTGGTCTTGACTTAGATCTATCTATCTATCTATCTATCTATCTATCTATCTATCTATCTATCTATCTATCTATCTATCTATCTATCTATCTATCTATCTATCTATCTGTCTGTCTGTCCATCTGTCTGTCTGTCTGTCTCTCCATCCATCCATCAATCCATCCATTATATTTCCTTAGAGAAAAAAAATGCCCGTTTTAAAACCACACTTTTTAAGCAAACCAATTAACAAAATGTATATAATTTTTATATATAATGCACTATTTATGTATGGACACTTTCTGATTTGGGACCACTGTATAAACACACATGCACACCAATAAATGTATTAACCAGTAAAATGCGTTTTAAAAACAGTCAAGCCTGTTATACTTATACCCAGCTTGTAAGGTTTACCTTTAAATGGTTTAATCATGCAGTGCAACTCTGCGGCACGTCTTGATCGAATGACATGTTCACTGCATGCTTGCGCAACCCCCCACTGATGTGAATGGACAGCCTTGAACAGCCTTTCAATTTGTATGTGTGAACATGCTGGCAGTGTCAGCCAGACAAATGCCATGTATTTGTTCTGCTCTGGTCAGTGGTGGGTCTTTTTTTTTTTTTTTTTTTTTTTTTCCAGCAGAGGTCGCCCTTCACACAGTGCTGCCACAAAATCATACCCTTTTCTTGCTGTCTAATCAGGAAAGCAGTCCCAGGAAAATAAGGCTAATTTTAGATTCCTGTATGCCATTTAAAACATTTTCTTGCCATAATCAGCTCTTTTAACGCCAGCTCTCTCATTCGTTTGCACACTTACAGAATGAGCAGCTGTATACCTGGGCTCCAGTGGGACAGAATGAGATCAGAACACCTGGGCGGCTCCAAACAATGTGGCCTCCGACCCCTACTTCTGTACAGGTGCGAGTATGTCTTCCAATATGGTTTTGTATGCCCAAAATAAGGATTGTGTGGTCATTATTCCCATTATTATTCATGTATTTGATAAACACACTATAGTATGTAATGATTACCATATTCAAATGCTAGGATATGATGTTTTCGGTACAATACTTCGCTAAAATACGTCAAAGAAAGCCATGGTATTGCTATCTTACTTTTAAAAAAAAAATAGTTTTACCATGGTACAGTACCATGTCCAAAGTTAATATCATGCTGCTACTCTTACATATATGGTACATATGGTTCACAAAACACCACCCCAGTACTTTTTATAAGGGTAACAAAAAACTCCAAAATTACCACGGTAATGCCATGCTTTTTGGACATTTTGGTGGTACTATGATATTTTTGGACATAGTTCCATGGTAAAACCATGGTTTTTGGACATGTAATATGATAAAATATATTTGTATTTTTTAAAGTACCTTGGATTATCATGTAAAATCATGTATTAATATGGTAATTATTCAGTGACATGATACATATCAATGTACCTTGGTATTTAATTCCATTACTGTACCATAGTACATTTTAGCAAGAGCTATGTGTAATCAAACACGCATTTGCTTTTGTCTATTGTCCGTGTATGTTAATGTGAGCAAACTCTTAAATAGTTTTAATTATTTCCCCAATAGGTTCAACACCCTCATGTTACTCATAATGTATTTTACAACTCACTAGCCATACGTGTCTTTAACGTTGCTATGAGACGTTCTGTAAACAGCATCCTAACAGCATCTTATCCTGATCTAAACATCTGTCCAGCAGGCGCAGTGCCTGCCATTGTGTTTTAAGATCCACCATGTTTGAGTTTTGAAATGATAAATGACCACTTGCATTCCAATGTTCAAAGCACACACACGCAACACCTTATATTACAGTTTATTCCTCATGTTTCTTGTAGGAATATTCCTGAATGTGATTCGGAATGCAGATCTTTTGGGGGAATATGTCTTTTTTAATTACATTAATACTTGTAATACTTAACATACTGTATATAACACCCTGGTACACATGATCATATCAAATCGCATGAAGGAACTTCTCTGGCTACTACTGACTCTAGAATTCCTAAGGGGCTTGAAGGTCTGGAGCCAAAATTTACCAAAGCTCCCTGGCTGTGGAAAAGGGTTTTGTGAATGAAAGCGTCTCCCCAAACCCATGTCAGTCTGACAGGGCCCAACATGTAACCAGACTCCATGTGTGTGATATGTTCTCCGTCCCCCCCAATACTTCACACAGACCCACACAAACTCTTTGAAGCCGTTTGAAGCTGTGTAAAAGAAAGGCACAGACCCTTCCCTCCTCATTCCCAGAGACTCTGCGGCTCGCCTTTTAGGAGTCCTCAGAGACGACTTCTGGAGTCTAGACTTGTTGGACTTCCTTGACCCTCGCTGCCAGATTGTATGTGTCTCTGTATGTTGTGTGTGTTTATCACCATGTTGTGTGTTCGCCAAGTGCATCCCTTGTTGTGTGTTGTGTGCCGATTTTTACACGCTGGCTGTGGTTGTTCATTCATTTCCCTGGGTTCACTCTCTTCCCTTCATCCAGGAAGCACGGCTACGTTTTCCATGATCAGCCAAAGTGCTTTTATTGACTTGTGGGATGCCACATGCGTGCCTGGTCTTTGCTATTAAGAAACACGGCCCCTTACTTACAAACACACACTCACTCATAATATCATTCCTCAAAAAAACGTAGTCTCGGAGGAGAAACTAACATCCGCTAAAACAAGGCACTAACTCATGCTTGTACGATCGCATGTGACAGGAGGTGTCTGTGTTTTTCATTCCATGCTGCTGTTTCTTTTTAAAGACGTGAAGTCTCTCTTTTCTGTATCCTTCTCTCCACAGGATGGATCCACGGGGCAATCTGGGATTGTTCCAGAAGGGACTTCCGTTTCCATTCAGGAGCTAGAGCGAACAATTGAAGAATTACTTGCGAAAATATCAGATATGGAAAAAGACAATCATTTACTGGATGGCACAAAGCTTGGAACAAGAGATCAAGAAGTGGGTGATATTCAAACCATCAAACAGTCTAAAGTAAATGAACAAGGAGTTCTGCGCCACGCGAAAGCCATTCAGACCTCACCTGTTGAGGAAGCCTTTAAAATTCCAGTGCCTTTTTCAGACCAATCACAGACTCCCAAATTAGGTGACAGCGCCACTTCACCAATTGGACTGCCCTATTCCTGCAGCTGCCAAAGAAAACAGGAAATCAGTCCCCCTGCACCACCCCTACTTCCTGTTGTTTCAGGTGTTTCGACACCTTCAGCACCAGATGTATCAATACCTCCACCTCCTCCACCTCCACTCCCAGGTATGGTTCCGCCCCCTCCTCCACTCCCAGGTATGTCTCCACCCCCTCCACCGGGACTCCCAGGAATGGCTCCGCCCCCTCCACCACCTCCACTTCCTGGTATTGTTCCACTATCTCCACTTGTGGGCATGGCTCCACCCCCTCCTCCCCTCCCAGGCATGGCTCCACCCCCTCCACCTCCCCCTCCTCCACCTGGTTTTGGGCCCCCACCACCCTTTGGTCCCCCTCCACCCTTCATGGGGTTTGTGCCGCCCAGCATGGCTCAGGAGTCCGCCCCCCTGAAAGCTGTCATCGAGCCTCCAAGACCCATGAAACCACTCTACTGGACCCGGATTCAGCTACATGCCAAAAAGTAAACTTATGCCTCATTGACTGAATGCTACATGGATTTGCAATATGCATTTTGAATGTTTGTGTTTCAACTAATTTACATTCAGCCAGGGTTTAATTATAATCACACATACAATAAGACAAACTGATATATATTTTTTTCCTTGCACATAGGGATACCAAAAGTGCTCTGGTGTGGGAGAAGGTTCAAGAGCCATCCGTAGACTTTGGCGAATTTGTTGAGAAGTTTGCCAAAAGTGCAGTTAAGGAAAAGAAGAAACCTATCTCAGATACCATAACTAAATCAAAAGCCAAACAGGTAAGAAGACTTTACTACACCCACACTGATTGAAATCACTGGAGCCCAACAAATAGGCCATACCCTAGTGGACCTTAGTATGCTCACTTCGTCTCAGATCCCGGGACAACATTCCCGGTTGTCTGCCCCTGAAGATAGCTCTGCCCACACCTCACCACACACAAAACCATTAACAGTGATTTCACACGCACAGCTTGTGAATCAGAGCCTTACAGACGTTCAGTAAATGTTATAAGCTCTACTTAATGTTCCATCAACCAAAGTGTGACTGTGAGACTCTTTGATAAGACTGTTTACCATCAGAAACGATCCAGGCATCTACCACATCTGAAGCTAATCTCTCTCTCTCTCTCTTCCGCTCTGGTAGTGGTGTGAAAATTAGTCACTGGTGAGAGTTTTGTGGGTCCTTCATCTGGAGTCGAACAGATTTCTGATAACAACACACTGCTCCACAACAAGCACATTACAATCTGCATCACAAAAAAACTATTTTATTTAATTGTCCTGCAGCTGTGTTCGTCAACTATGAATTACGTACATATTTAGTGTTGTTATCATGAAGATAATTTCCAAATATATATATATATACCATCCTTAATATAGAGTAATGTGGCGCTACCATAGTACAGTAATTGTATGTAACAGATGGTAGTACTATCATACTTTGAAATATACCATGGTACTGAAATTCATGTACCATGGTGTTCACAGTACATAGTACTACATGGTACTTTCAAGAATACCAAGGTAGTACTTTGGTGCATATTTTTGTACATGTACTATGGCACTACAATGTTTTTCTTTAAAGTATCCTGTTGTGCCACTAAAATACCGTGGTATATGAATAAGGTAATCATTCCCAAAATCATTGGTATTCCCATCCAATACCATCTTTGTGCCATGGTACCACCACTTTTTTATATAAATGTGGGTAAACAAGGTTTTTATGAACACGTTTTGAGAATACTCTGTGGTATTGCCTACAAATAGGATAAATGACGAACTGGATGTTTAACCATGTAAATATTGAGAAATTCATAAGACTTTTGAAAGTGTTCTGTTTGCTCTTTCTCTCTCTCCCTCTCTTTCTCTCTCTCTCTCTGTGGTCTGTAAGATCTGAGGAATGGGAGGGGGGGTCTGTATTGAGTTAAAACCCACAACCCTCAAACCACCAGCCAACCCAGCGACTCCAGTCAGCCTAGTGTGGTCATGCCACACTTTATATGTGTGTGTGTAAGAGAAAGAGAGTGGGTGTGTGTAGCATTGTTCACAGAAGAGTTGCTTTAGGCCTATGGTTACAGTTTGCTCATATCAGTCAAAATTACAGTGCTAATCTAATCAAATCAAACCTTTTACATGAATTTGATATATCAATTAAAAACAGCTGCCCGGAGCTCCATTTGAGCCAATATTATCATGTTAATTTTATGAATCATATTCATTTTACGGCCCATTGCTTTGGCAGTAGTTATCTGGTTCTTTAGCTGCTAGTTACTGTACGACCGCCGAACCTCCATCTTCCCTCGTACAGTGACATCCCCGGTTCCCACCAAGACAGTGCTAAAGTATGGAATCAATTCTCATTGGTTGGTAAGCGTCTGGTTTGAGATCCAGCTCATCACAGGCATGAGTGTGTTTCCCACATCATTAACGTAGCACACCACTCTGCAGTCGGGCTGTATTTAGTGGTCATGAGCCCCGTGGAGATAATGGGAGCCAGTGGCTTCCTGATGATCACACTGAGCCGCCATCACACACTTTCAAGAGTGGCCTGTACTAGAAGGTTTTCATGGCTCCAAATTCTTTCCAACAATCAGAATTAGCATGTTGTTAACGTACGGCAATGAAAGAAGACATGTTTACGATGGCACTCAATGTACACGTGTTAATGCAAAGAAGACGCTAAAGCTACAGTGAACTGGCAGAGGGCAGAGCTTAGGGAATGTTTTCTCTTTCAAAAAACATTGACAATTTATACAGAGTATGTGAGGTATTCCATGCATCCACACACGCATCCACTTGTTTAGAAATGCCTGATTTGAAGGGGCCGTCTGAAAGTGTCAAAATCGAACTCTGTTTAATTGGACCAGACAGGTCTGTCATTTGCATAATTACTGTGGTGTTCTTTGGCAGAGCCAGAAACGGGAGAAAGTAAAGTTCTTTTGATATATGTGGATGCTATGCATGAAAGAATGAGACGAGACCTCTCCATAATGCCATATGAGGAAACAGTCATAAATACTCATACTTTGGCTTTGTTTTTGGTTTCCTTTTTAGGCCAAAGTACCTCTCTGTGCTATTAAATTTATGAGGGCAGCCAGATGAAATACTGTGTTTATGTTTTTTTTTGTATTTTTTATAGTATAATGTGGCTGATGTTTTACTACAGTAATGAAATAATACCCTCTGTCTCTCTCAGGTTGTCAAGCTGCTGAATAACAAACGTTCTCAGGCAGTGGGGATTCTAATGTCCAGTCTTCATTTGGATATGAAAGATATCCAGAATGGTGAGCAACCCGAAGAAGTGTTCTTTGCACTTTGTATGCCCATTGATAATGTTGTGTGTGTGTATGTGCGCACACTTGTTCTGCTGTTGACTACTTGTCATGTTTCTGAAAAAAGCAGTTATATATATATATATATATTAGGTGTGTGTGTTTTTGGCTAAACCTCCTGAGATTGTGCTCAGCCTCCTGCCAGCATGTGACCTCTCTAAGGGGGGAAATATGATGTCACAGCCAATTAAGACGCATTGTTCTTGCTGTTTATACAGTTACTGATTGTGTTTGAAAGCTGGAGAGAGAGGGTTGGTTGCGTCTCAGGGTTCAAGAGTAGGTTGATACTGTAGATCTTAATGAACATGATGATTAGAGTCGCATCCTCTTTCTTATTCTGTTCTATTCTTTTACTGTAGCTACAGTTTTAATCTCAGTTTTAATTCGTCTCTCTATATCTCTCTTATTGCTGTCATCACTCTGTCTGCTCATTCATCCCCTTGAATGGACTATAAAGGAAATAATGCAATTTCTTCTCATCACGTTCGGGAATGTTAGTCCTGTCTCGCAGAGCAATCCAGACCTCTTGATTGTGGATTTTTATGTGGTGAAGGAGTTACTTAAATAGAATACAAAGAAAAAAGGCCAAATACTAAGACAATTAATAAGTAAAAGTAGGAAAATGTTTTAGAAAGGTTGATTATTTCACACAAATATCTTCAAACTGTCGCTTATCGCTTATCTTTTGTTCCTTTCATCATCCAGATGATGATCTGTGCATTTCTTCTTTGGATTCAATTAATAAGATTACCTGTGAAAAGCAAAGAGAAAGTAGTGAAACGGTAATTATTATTAAATATGATATGATATTAATGATATTTTTTCAGTTAATCTTTGTGCAGGTTACATCCATATGACAGTATGGTCACACACTGTGAAACTAGTCTTTTTGAGTTAGTCGATGAATTCTTTACTCAAACCATTCATTCGTAGTCACTGGTTTATTCAGGAACGCCACTGTTGTTTGGATATGTTCAACGGTCGATTCTGCTTCGATTTTGGAGTCGGTGCAAAAATGGACCCATGTGTGGTTACTTTTTAGTCCTGGATGGATAAATAGTGTATTCTTCAGCAACATAGTCTAAACAATGTTTTTTTTTTTTTGTCATTCATTGGTTAACAGGCGGCAGACAAGCTGAATTGTGTTTTCTTTCAGTAACATTTTTCCATGCATAATTTCCCTCCAGTCTAATCCACTGTAACAACAACCCTTTTTTAAATTCTATTTTTCTTTCTTCGTTTTAATGAATCAGCAAAGGCTGGATGCAGTTTTAAAAACCACATCACTTTATGTGAATGGATACCTAATATTGTACACACACACATATGCACACATCCTTTAAACCGGCGGTATTTGAAGACATTTTTACTGGCTCTTTGAGAATTTATGGGCACAGTCCCCATCTATTATGCAGCTCAGTACCCACAATTCAGCACTGGTCGAGTCTCATTGGGTCTCGCAGCAATTCCGCCCAATGCAGAGGCCAGTATGTTTGGCCAGAGTAAACCACCAAATAGAAACAAACAGTTTCTCTGACAGAGCTATTTACCCAGAATCAATACATTCCTCAACATCACGCTTCACCACACTGACCTGGATCAGGCCCTTTGAGGAACTAGCAAAGAATGCCGTGAGTTGGTTTAATTGCAGAGTTTAAAGGTTCATGCAAAGTTATGAGGCAGTTTTTACAGTCAGTAGAAATGTTACCCGTATGTCTCTCTTTTCTTTCATTATTCAATTATCAGCCATCAAACAACATAAAAAAAACAACCTCTTCTCAAGATTACGACTTGTTGTTAGGGAACCTAAACCTAATCTGGTGCAACTCCTCTGTGGATTTCCACTGAATCGCTTCCTTTGTGTCAACTTTCTTGTTTCCCTCAGCTGGTTTCCATAAGATCTCATGTTTGAGCCCTTCACAAGCTGAAAAACACTCCTGCATGACTGACTAGAACATAGGCCGCTCTTGCACCAACACACTTGGTGACAAGCCTTTGATTTCTACCCATAACAGTCTCAGAGTTTCACAAGTCAGCTCGGTGTTTTTGCGTATGTGAGATTGGATTCCTCAACGTGTGACGCCGACCCCCTCCGGACCTTTTGTTTGTTATGTTTCTTTAGTGACTCACACACTTGTTCTGCAGTGCCGTCTGTTTGGGTCTTCTAAGCTGTCACAGGACATTGTTTTGTGGAAACATTCTGAATCATGGCAGCGATCACAAAGAAAGCAACAAGGAAACATATGTGTATGATCATGTCCTTATATAAAATCCTTCTCTTCTCTTTGTTAGCCAAACATTGTTCTGTTTTATAGTTAGTGGTGTTTAGAGAGAGAAGGTGGTATGTGTCTGTACAGCTGAAGAATTGCAAACATGGTAGCATTCGCTCGACGTTTGGAAGATAGTAATTATGGAAGTTTGGCACAAACTGAACTTTGTAAACCTGCTAAGTACTAAGAAACTGCTTTAAATGTTTGGATTATGAAATATGTAGCAAGAACAGAAATGTAGAGTAGCATATCTAGAGGTATAAACCTAAACCACTTAAACAAGGCATTTAATCCAAGGTTGCTCCAGGGGGATTCCTCATGTAATAGGTGTTATTTGGATAAGAACGTCAGCTAAATGATGAGCTGTATAACAGTAAAAGTGCACGAATTTCTGGTGATTATAGTCATCGTGGTGTAAAACGTATAATTGCATTTATAGTTTCAGAAATGTGAGAATTGTTTCACAGATACTCCTACTACAATTTCCACTGAGCTTTTCTGGTTATATCCTAATTAAAGTCCCTCTAAATGGGCCAAGATATTATTATTATTATTATTATTATTATTAATAATATTATTATGGGTGACACCAACCCCCTCCAGACGATTTGTATATCATACTCACTTGTTCTGCTGTGCATACTATTTAATTTATTTATTATATTATATCACATTTAATAATAATAGTATAATATTTAAATTTCTATTAATATTGACAAACAAATGCTAAACACGTCTTAATTTAGCACAATTTATATAGCACAGTTTTATAATAATAATAATTGTATTTTTTTGTGTGTGTGATGCCGACCCCCTACGATTTGTTTTCTTCAGTGACTCACACTCACTTGTTCTGCAGCATATAATATTTCATATATTTTTATGAATATAATAACAACAATATAAGTATTAAAATTTCAATTGAAATTCTTATTTAATATTGACAAACACATGCTAAACACATCTTACTTTAGCATAAATCTCTGTTGTATAATAATAATAATAATTTTAGTTATAATAATTGTATTATTTGTATTGTTATTTGTGTCATGCCGACCCCCTCCGTACGATTTGTTTGTTTCTTCAGTGACTCGCACTATTTCATATATTTATTATATTACAAAATACTAATAACTATTGATAATAATAATAACTATAAACACATTCAAATATAATGCAGGGACGATAACTGACCATACAGTTTGAAAGCTTTGTGTTGATCACTTTATTTTTCAGCTAATGAACTTTAGAAAGCTTTCATAACCATTTCTTCCTCGGATTTTAAATAAAGAGACCACCACACTAAACTACTGCATCAGTGTTTTGGGGAAGCACAGACCACATCCCTGGACTTCAAGAGACAAATTCTTTGTTTGGAGACATTGTTGTGGGGGTGTGGGGATTACGCTGTTGTTGTTTGTGTATGTGGTGATTGGGGTGTAGATCTGGTTGGAGTTGGTGTTGTCAGGTTGATGACAGGTTAAACTACTGAGTCATGGATTGAGCGTACTTTTTTTCACTCTCTTTCTTGTCTCTCTCCCTCTGTCATGTGTTCCCAAGGGCAAGGCTGCAGTTGTTCTCTTTGATATCTTTCTTCCATAACAGAAGGAATTCTTTGCTGTCTGTCTCCATTTTATACATCTGAGCATTGGCCAGATATGGATGTTTTTGTTATTTTTTCTTGTGTGGTTTCTGGAACACGCCAATGATCAATTTCTCAATTCCCCAAATGACTGAACACATAATAGCTCTATTTAGCACAGACAAAAAGTGTTCAGTCAAGCCAGCTCAATTACAGCCCTGCTAGAGATTCAAATGCTTTTATTATGTAAAAAGAACTCGGGGAAAATAAATGTTTGATGCTGAGTAAACACATTTTGATTGTTAAATCATATAATCGACCATGCCATACTATACTACCTAAGTTTGGGTTTGGTAAGATTTTTTTAATGCTAATGAAAGAAGTCTCTTATGCTTACTAAGGCTGAATTTATTTAATCAAACATACAGTAAAAACACGATACACCAATGGCGAAATATTATTACAATTTAAAATAGTTTTTTAATTTTTAATTACAATGTAATTTAGTCCTGTGATGGTAAAGCTGAATTTTCAGCATCATTCCTCCAGTCTTCAGTGTCACATGATCCTTCAGAAATCATTCTAATGTGCTGATTTAGTGCTCAATAAGCATTTATTATTATCAATGTTGAAAACAGTTGTGCTGCTTGATATTTTTGTGGAGACCGTGATTATTTAATAAATAGAAATTTCGCATTTACCGTATTTGTAAAAAAACCAGCATTTATTTGAAATGGAAATCTTTTGTAACATTAAAAATGTCTTCACTGTAACTTTTCATGAATTGAATCCATCCTTGCTAAATAAAAGTATTAATTTCTTTCAATAAAATGTATTCATTTAAAATAAAATGATAAAAATAATTATATTAAATTATTAAGTAAATGAATATATTGTTTTTTATATATTAGATATTAAATGAATTTCAATTCCCAGACAGTTGTCGATCAGTATTCCTCATAGTGTTCCTCTGTCTGAAAAATCATTTGAATAGATCTGTATTCTTGATTGGTCAGTCAGTGATGGATTCTCTCATTTTTCATCTCTCTTTCTCTCTCTGACAGCCATCTTGAACATGGACTGCACAGTGGTGGATCTGGAGACGCTCCAGGCGCTGTATGAAAACGTAAGCCCACAACATGACAGGACGTGACAGTCCAGATAAGCAGATGTGATGAATCCTGGCGATCCTTATGAAGTATGAATTCCATAAGTGATCATTTATCATATCATTGAACTCTTAAACCTCTCAGAACTGGACAGGATATACCCTGAAATCTTGGAGCTCTGCCTTGACGCGGTCCACTCCAAAAGAGAGCTGCGGAAATGTGTGTTAAATACCAAAACAAACATGCAGGCCACAAACACCGCTGGAATGAGTAAGGTTTACCATGGAGCCAGGGTGCGTGTCACTGTCTGAGGGAAAGAGAGAGAGAGGAAACAAGACGACTGTATAAAGACAGACATGCAGACATGGAACTGACAACAGACAGGAAGACAGGAGAGGATGAGGTTTTCCCTCTCAAAGAATAAAAAAAGGACAGTTCAAAAACTCAGGAAAAAAAGATTGAGCAAAAGAATTGCAGCCTATGTAACTTTTTAGGCAGTTGCAATTACGTCGGTTTGACATGGCGGCATAAATCAAACCTCTTTCTTGGAAGATCCATGAATCGCTCTTAGATGATTGGCTGCTACCAAATGCTGATTTTCTCTAATTCTTTAAGTGTGTGTGGGCGCTGATGAGTTTGCACACCATGATTCGCCATGTGTATTGCAGCAACAGTCATAAATCTTGCTGTCAACACAAGAGGTCCTTTACATGTTTTCTGTGTGGAAGTGTGTGTGAGTGTGAGCTTGAGCTGCTCTTCATTATGACGAGATAAAGACCGGGCGACAGGAGTCGTAGCCACACATCATGACACCATAACATTTCTCACACAAGTCTGATGATATCTTGGCACTATTCTTACTGTTTTCCTCTGAGTGTCATTTTGGGAATATGGCTTTCATTCATATGCCATTGCATCATACGTATCTTACTAATATTTCGGCACATGTGATTCGCAGATTAGTTTGCATTGTTGGTTAAGTTACTTTTAGATTTTAAGTTAGATTTTATTAATTACTAGCTACTAATTAAATCTTCAAGATCCTTTTCTCTTTAAAAAAGTAAGTTGTAAGTAGGCTATATAGTATGTAACTTTATTTGATCAAAAAAAATATTTTATAATATCTTTATTTTTTAAAAATGTGTGTAATGTGAAGCTAAAAATGGCAAGCTTCTGTGGAATCACTGGTTGTAAAAGCGAACAAAAAAGCATTTTTTGTCCATCTGCTCTGATATGATGTCCTGTATTCATGTGTATACCAGTGGCACCAACACGTGCATCCACGCAGAGCCGAAGCACGACCAAAACAATGTTCTTCCACAAGATGTATGCGCTTTAATTTTGAACCACTAGAGGGCCAAAAGTCTCATAGTGTAGCATTAACAAATAATAATGAAGTTATGTGTTTGTGTAGAATTGTTGTGTGCAGTAACTTTCTGCTGAAAACTATCTTTCCTTCCATCCCTCTGTTTTTCCTCTAACCCACCCACCCGTTCCCACTGTAGCTTGAGGCAGTATTGTTGAGTTTAAATGTTGAGGTTGTTTCTCTTTAGTGTGCGAGACTCCACGCTGTCTCTGACTCCTTCAACCAAAACCACAGAACACCCCCTCACTCTCACACACACACACACACGCACACACACACACACACACACACACACACACACAGTATATCCCCACTTTCCTCTCTCCTGCTTTTTCTCTCTATTCTCTTTTTCGCTGTCTGATTCAAGTACAGTCTAAAGTGTGCATCACTCTTTGTTTGTTGGGTTCTTAATCAAAGGTCACAAAGCAACACACATGTGTGAAGTGTATAAATGTATTTTCCCATTTTGAAATCACATTTTCCCTCTCTCAGTGTACTTTCTTTCTGTTCTTTTGTCAACCTCACAGAGAGCTCAAAAAGAAGAGATGGATCAGATTGAGAAACATATCAAGTCTTCAAAAAACAAAGAAAATGCAAAACCACTGGACAAGCCTGAACAGTATGTATACATCAGTCTATCCATCCATCCACTTATTCTCCTGTCATTAATTTGCCTCCCTGTCTCTTTGTTTTTGTCTGTCTCTGTCAGGTTTCTTCTGCAGTTGTCAGAGGTTCCTCAGTTCTCAGAGAGGGTTTTCTGTATTCTCTTCCAGTCCAGCTTCACGGAGTGTGTTACATCAGTTCAGCGTAAACTAGAAACACTGCTAAGAGTCTGTACGGTGAGAAAGAACGTGAAGCACACTAGTCAGATTGCACTTACATATATTTCAAGTTGAAAGGTCAGATGAAAAGCAGTGAAGTAAACACCTGTGCTTCATCATCTTTCTTTTCTCTGTTTACAGGCTCTACAGTCAGGCCAAGCCGTCCTGCAAGTTCTAGGTTTGGTTCTAGCATTCGGGAACATTATGAACGGGGGCAACCGAAGCAGAGGACAGGCAGACGGATTTACCCTTGACATCCTGCCCAAGTTAAAAGATGTCAAGAGTAGTGTGAGTAAATATGAGATCACTGTCGCCACTTACTCACCCTGATGTCATTCCAAACATGTGTATGACTTGCTTCTGTGGTACACAAAAGAAGAATGTTTCTGTCTGTTTTTGCCCATACGATGAAAATCAATAGGGTCTTAATGTTGGATCCCACTGACTTTCATTGTATGAAAAAAAATATATATATATATATATATATATACTATAATATATTATATATACAGTGGTGGCCAAAATTATTAGAACACTTGGCATATTTAAGAGGTTTCAGTTGTTATTTTCCAAGAGGACAATGACCCTAAACATTCTTCTAACTACTGCCGTAACTACCTGCGACAGAAGGAATCTGCTGGACCTCAACCTCATCGAGCAAATTTGGGGCAAGTTGGAAAATAAACTGGACATATCTATTGTACATTCAAATGATACCTTTTGGCTTCAGTTGCAGAAGGCATGGGATAACATTAGTGTTGAAGTTCTCAGGAAATATATTGACACTATGCAAGAGAGATGTGCTGCTGTAATTGCTGCAAAAGATGGACATACCAAGTATTAAAGTTAAAAGTGGATAAAAACAGTACGACTCACTTCATCTGATATTTGTTGTGCTCAGAGCAACCATTTTCATGTTTCATTAACATAATGTAATGAAATCATGTTTTGGAGGCAAAAAAGGTCAATATTTTCAGACCTGTCAGGTATTCTAATAATTTTGGCCACCACCAGAGCCATAGAGAGAAAGAGTTGCGACACTCCCATAGACCGCCATAGGAACTTTGGAATGCGGAAGTAACGCGTGTCGTGGAGCAGCCAATAGCTCCAAACACTGATAGTTCCAGCATTGAACCCCATTCATTTTCAGTGCTTCCGAAGTACGCTCGCTGATAAATTAATGAAATTACTGTATTTTTTTACTTTTACACACATTAGCCGACCTCTCGTGAATCTAGTCTGTAGTTATATTTTATGTAGCCAGTTTTAGTAAATGTTTATTGGAAGATAATAGGTTAATTGCAGCGATAGCATACGTGACCAAAACTTCACTAACGTTAGCTAACTTACGGTAACCTGATGTATATAATATATAATATTTTTAATAATATTTTATATGTATGTGTATATATATATATATATATATATAGCCTATATATAATATTATATATACATACACACACACACACACACACAATTAATTTATTTAAATGGGTTAGGGTTATGCATGTGCTTATATGTATTTAGGAACATAGTTAATTCACTCATTAACTATCTCTCCGGTTTAATTTTATGAAGAATATTTTTCGGTTGAATATTTACCGAACATTGCTGTATATAGTCGTTGCTTTCTACGTTATGGGAGCAGTCTATTTCCCTCCTAAATCATTCATTTGTACATGCACAGCGTAATTATTTATATTTTATGTTGGTTGGAGTTCTGAACGGACTGCAGACCTCTTTGCGTGATCACGAAGGTAGGCTAATGGCCGAATCGGAATTTATAAGCAAGATCACGGGAATCAATAGCCTAATACAGCCCAGTTGTGCTAAAATAAATATCATGAGACGTCCATCATCAGATGAATGACATGGAAAAGTTAAGTTAGAGCCGCTAAAGCCAGTGCTACTACCCATGTGAACATGAACACTAAGCTTTTCCCTCCAAAAATATAGCCTAAAACTTATCTAAGTTGTCACCCTGCCTCTCCAAATGCAAAACTGACATTAACAAAATGCAATAACAGCTTAAAAAGTACTTGGGTGTGTGTTTTATTTTATATCTACCGTTTAATAATGCAATCGCTGCTGTCTGTCCATAGAAGAACATGACAGCCCGCGGATGTTTTGGAACTATTGGGGCTTACATGAACCACGTGACAGCCGTCGCGGCGACATCAAAGCGTGTCGCAACTCTTTCTCTCTATGGCTCTGGCCACCACTGTATATATATATATAAGTCAGTCATACAGGTTTCAAGGAAATGAGGATGATTCAATGATGAAGGAATTTTAATCTTAGGTGAACTATCCCTTTAAGTTACAATTTTGCTGGTCAACATCGTGGCTGTGCATATCCACCAGCTAGACCAGCACAGAACCAGCATAAACACTAGTATGAACATGCATGGAAATTCCCATAGTGTAGTTTGGTGGTCTCCTGACCCCACTGACTAGGTCATAAACAGACCTTTTTTTTGGCAATATCACTCACAATGAGCAGTCTATACAGTAGTGTCAAGTATTGCAATAGCCTATATCCACATCGCATGTGTTCTGTGTGTCTGCACACATGTGCACGTGAGCAAGCGCCTTTGCAGGCCTCTTATTCACAACCGCTTTGAGCAAAAAGAGTGTATACAATCCCAAAACATGAAAAATGATTATTCTCCTGTGTTTATTTCCATCTCTCGTCTCCTTCTCTCGCTCCATCAGGATAATTCTCAGAGCCTCCTGTCCTACATAGTTGCTTACTATCTGCGACATTTTGATGAGGTAGGTTTGGCCAGCTGTTTATTTCATTGGCTCGACTAACAGACCCCCTGGTCCCTTAGATTCTCCCTTCATGTTAGACAAAAATGTGGCTTTGTTTTTGGTTTCATCACTTTGATTTGCCTTTCTTTCCATTCACCATATAGACAAACGGCTGCTCTGAACGAGCAGAGCCCTTTGATTACTTGATGCCCTTTTTGGACGCAGATTAAAAGGGCTGTATTGTAAATACCGTCAGCAGTCAGTCCAGATGTTGTGATTGCCATGTCCAAATTGACAAAATATGATCCACAGGTTGTTGAAGTGCTTCTGGCGTTCAGGCAAATAACAAGAGCGCATATGTGTGCATGTCTATGTGAGCGGCTCTGATCTCTGACAGACGGAGCGCTATTGAGATTGATTTGTTGTGTTTGATGTTTTCATTGTTTTTGGAATCAAAATGATCTTTACACACCAAACTATTTGAACAGAATTCGCATTCAATTATTTTTCAAATCAACCAAACGGTACAGATATGATCTCATAAACACAACATCTGTATGATTGTGCTTGTTTCCATTGTTTGTGTGTCAGGATGCAGGTAAAGAAACGTGCGTGTACCCACTTCCAGAGCCTCAGGATCTGTTTCAGGCGTCGCAGATGAAGTTTGAGGATTTTCAACGTGACCTCCGTAAGCTACGGAAAGATCTGAATGGTGAGATGTGGACACGCACAAAGTAAATAAATGAATACACGCGTGCTTTTACACACACTTCCATGTATATACATGAGATCACATGCATGCAAACACATGTGGACACAACACATGGACATACAGACAAACAAGAACTCACATACAAGTGTGCATATACAAAAACACACAGACATGTTTAGTTTGTATACATCAGCACCAGTGACCTGTGTTCTCCTTTAGAAGGCTCATTGATTTTCAAATGGCTGTTTTTATTGAGCCCCCAGCTGGCTGCCACGATGATCAATACTGCAAATGTGGTTTGTTAAAGTAAATAAATGAGAGAGGGGTCATTTCCAGCACTTTTCCTAGGGGTCTTACCTGTTCTTACAGGCCTAAAGCACTTAACTCCAGGTTTCTGCAGGTGAACTGTCCCTATACACTACAGTTCAAAACATACAAAAATGTGTTAAATGTGTTTGATAAGTTTGAGTTGTATATAACATTTAGACATTCTGGTAACAGAAATGAAAATCAGCTCAAGATTTTGATCAAGATATTTGTTTAAATAAACAAACAAATAAATAAACGCATATATTCAGTAAGTGTATAAATACATTTCAGACCCTCTTTTGTACCCTATTTTTAGGAAATGCCATATGTTCTGGTGCTTTTGAAAAGAAACTAGAGGGCAGGTAGAGGGCTTAAACTGCCACTTAAGAACTGTCTGCTTTGCTCCCTGACCAGTAAAGCAATTTACCGGGGTCTTCAGGAGGTTAGTGAGATTGGTTCAGCTTTGCGCCGCAAGTCAAAGGTTGTATGACCCAGCTTAAGTGCACGACGGAGTGTGAATGAGGTGTAAGAATCCGATTACATGCTCAAAGCTGCGTTTAAATCCCTGCAAACATTTTCATTGCCAACCCAAACACACACACACACACACAGATGTGGAAGTACTCACATTCCACTGTTGGCATGTTTGGCTTGTTGGCTTGAAAAAACACTGGTGGATGTTGATGTGGTCAAAATAGAACACTGCCCTACATCAAAAACACATTTACAATCAATCATTAATCCAGAGTGAGATTGTCTACCACACACAAATAATAACGTCCGAGCATTTTGAGTTGCACTTGAGCCAGTCAAACATATCAGATGGATTTGCATTTGGCTCATGGAAATTTCGATTGAAGGATGGTCGCTTTGATGCATTGCTATACATCCTATTAACTTCGTCCCTGCTGTTAGCCATATTTTTGCGTGCCTTACCTTGAATCCCTAGTCAGCGATTTGCATTGTTAATCTTTCAAAAGCTTATTAGTTAGGCCCACTATACATGTGGTTGATAAATTGTAAATGTACTTTTCCAGAGCTTGTATGCTTAGCTAAATGGTTTTGGCGTACACCTGCTGAACAGATCAAGCCTACATTTGTTTAACGCAGGCAAATATTTCTCCTCTGGCAATGTTCTGTGCTTCTCTGAATCCTTAACAGTTCACGTCCCTGAAATCTCCCCGCGGCCCAATAAGCATGGCTCCTCTCTTACGCCAGGTTCATGCAATAAATGGATCATCACTACATTAGCAAGCTAAGCTAAGCGCTACAGCAGATGTGCGACACTGACAGCTGGAAGGGGCACGGAGTTATGCAGGCGGCCCGGCAGGTCTTCGCTTTCACAAAGCCCATGATCCAGCTGGCAGGGACATTAGCATGTGTGTTTGCATTGCGCTGATTGGCATGCAAGCCTGTGATCCATCACCGAATGTAGTGATGGAGTGTGACACGGTGAAGCCTTTCATCAGGCTGTTGTAAGACTCTAGGTGTACAGCGAACTGAAGCGAAGGAAAGGTTCATGAAATGGGATTCATTAGCATCTGTTAGCACAGGTCACAAATAGCACATTTTTCGTTATACTGATACATCTGTGAAGTGCAGGAAGACGAAGCAGAAGGATGGAATGTAACATCCTGCTAATAAAAGTCAATGGTAGCTGCTTTTAATGCTAGTTTGTTGCTGGTCTTAGCAGTTTAATCGGTGAAGACTAGTTGTCCAGAGAATTTTGGCCATATGTTGGGGCCATTGCTGTGCTCACTGCTAACAAAAATATGTTCTAAGAACGTTTTACTAAGGTTCCCATTAAGCTATGAAAACATTATTTCTGAATGTTCTCTAAATGTTAAAACATTTTCAAAACTTTTTTCTTGGTTATGCAAACATTAGGGGAACATTACATTTAATCATTTTGCAAACATTTCAGGAATGTTACTTTTTACTGTTACTGAAACAAGTAGTAACAGTAAAAAAAAAAGTTAGACGAATGTCCAACTAAAACGTTCCATGAACAATGTATAAATAATGTTATGTTAACGTTTTGAGAACTTCATTAAAGACCATGTAACTTTGAACGAACTTTCTGGAAGAAAATGTGTTTATAACTTTAAGAGAAACTTTCCAGAACGTTAGCCAAAGTTCTGAGAACGTTCCCTGTTAGCTGGGGTCTTTTTTTTAACAAGGTTTACTACTGTATATTACAGTTTGTATACAAAGACTTGAGGTCATCAGTGCATTCCAAATATGTGTTTTATGAGAGTTATTTAAGTGGCTAGTAGTGGTGTAGCCTAACATAAGATGTTTTCAGTGTTTAAAAAAAGCTGTTCTTCAGTTCCATGATTGGTTTTGTTTGTTTCTTTCTCACATCTGTCTTCCTGCTCTACTTTATTTTACAGCCTGTTCAGCAGAAACAGAAAAGGTGTGTATTGTCTCGTCTGAGGAGCACCTGCAGCCCTTTAAGGACAAAATGGAAGAATTTCTCACTAGAGGTAAAAAAATACATAGCAAACCTAGGCCCTATTCAGACGGCTATTGTTTTACATGAGGATGTGCCATTTGAATTGGAAATGTCAAGATTTTTTCTTTTAGCATCTCACGGATTTAAACAAGAAACCAAAGTAATGTTAGCACTCAGAAATGTATTTTTGGAGTGAATTCCTGCAGTGATTCCAAAGACTGCATTTATTTTGAAAAACCGTCCTCGTTTTCAGGGAGTGCATTCCAAAGGCAGTTTTCAGCGTCTCAAAGCAGTTTGGTTCATTTACTATGAATTGGCTTGCTATATATATATATGTATATATATACACTCACCGGCCACTTTATTAGGTACACCTGTCCAACTGCTCGTTAACACTTAATTTCTAAGCAGCCAATCACATGGCGGCAACTCAGTGCATTTAGGCATGTAGACATGGTCAAGACAATCTCCTGTAGTTCAAACCGAGCATCAGTATGGGGAAGAAAGTTGATTTGAGTGACTTTGAACGTGGTATGATTGTTGGTGCCAGAAGGGCTGGTCTGAGTATTTCAGAAACTGCTAATCTACTGGGATTTTCACGCACAACCATCTCTAGGGTTTACAGAGAATGGTCCGAAAAAGAAAAAACATCCAGTGAGCGGCAGTTCTGTGGGCGGAAATGCCTTGTTGATGCCAGAGGTCAGAGGAGAATGGCCAGACTGGTTCGAGCTGATAGAAGGGCAACAGTGACTGAAATAACCACTCGTTACAACCGAGGTATGCAGCAAAGCATTTGTGAAGCCACAACACGCACAACCTTGAGGCGGATGGGCTACAACAGCAGAAGACTCCACCGGGTACCACTCATCTCCACTACAAATAGGAAAAAGAGGCTACAATTTGCAAGAGCTCACCAAAATTGAACAGTTGAAGACTGGAAAAATGTTGCCTGGTCTGATGAGTCTCGATTTCTGTTGAGACATTCAGATGTTAGAGTCAGAATTTGGCGTAAACAGAATGAGAACATGGAACCATCATGCCTTGTTACCACTGTGCAGGCTGGTGGTGGTGGTGTAATGGTGTGCTCACCGGCCACTTTATTAGGTACCCCATGCTAGTAACGGGTTGGACCCCCTTTTGCCTTCAGAACTGCCTCAATTCTTCGTGGCATAGATTCAACAAGGTGCTGGAAGCATTCCTCAGGGAGTTTGGTCCATATTGACATGATGGCATCACACAGTTGCCGCAGATTTGTCGGCTGCACATCCATGATGCCAATCTCCCGTTCCACCACATCCCAAAGATGCTCTATTGGGTTGATATCTGGTGACTGTGGAGGCCATTTTAGTACAGTGAACTCATTGTCATGTTCAAGAAACCAATTTGAAATGATTAGAGCTTTGTGACATGGTGGAAGTAGCCATCAGAGGATGGGTACATGGTGGCCATAAAGGGATGGACATGGTCAGAAACAATGCTCAGGTAGGCCGTGGCATTTAAACAATGCCCAATTGGCACTAAGGGGCCTAAAGTGTGCCAGGAAAACATCCCCCACACCATTACACCACCACCACCAGCCTGCACAGTGGTAACAAGGCATGATGGTTCCATGTTCTCATTCTGTTTACGCCAAATTCTGACTCTAACATCTGAATGTCTCAACAGAAATCGAGACTCATCAGACCAGGCAACATTTTTCCAGTCTTCAACTGTTCAATTTTGGTGAGCTCTTGCAAATTGTAGCCTCTTTTTCCTATTTGTAGTGGAGATGAGTGGTACCCGGTGGAGTCTTCTGCTGTTGTAGCCCATCCGCCTCAAGGTTGTGCGTGTTGTGGCTTCACAAATGCTTTGCTGCATACCTCGGTTGTAACGAGTGGTTATTTCAGTCACTGTTGCCCTTCTATCAGCTCGAACCAGTCTGGCCATTCTCCTCTGACCTCTGGCATCAACAAGGCATTTCCGCCCACAGAACTGCCGCTCACTGGATGTTTTTTCTTTTTCGGACCATTCTCTGTAAACCCTAGAGATGGTTGTGTGTGAAAATCCCAGTAGATTAGCAGTTTCTGAAATACTCAGACCAGCCCTTCTGGCACCAACAATCATGCCACGTTCAAAGTCACTCAAATCACCTTTCTTCCCCATACTGATGCTCGGTTTGAACTGCAGGAGATTGTCTTGACCATGTCTACATGCCTAAATGCACGTAGTTGCCGCCATGTGATTGGCTGCTTAGAAATTAAGTGTTAACGAGCAGTTGGACAGGTGTACCTAATAAAGTGGCCGGTGAGTGTATATATATATATATATATATATATATATTAGGACATTTATATTTGTATTGTAATTTAACAGTTGTACTATAAAATAAAAATATTTTATTAAATACAATCAATTTTTTTTATTTACTGTTCAATAGTAGCAATAGATTTCTTAATTTGTTTATATTTTTTATTTAATAAATTATTAATCACATTTATAGTCATTCTGATTGGGTCAAAAACATTGAGAATGTGGCCTATGAAAACTCAAGTGGAAAGATATTTCATCTCTAAAAGGATCACACTCAAAAGTCTTCAGAGTAACAGGTAAGGTCACACTTTAGTTTAGGGTCCAATTCTCACTATTAACTAACTATTAACTATGACTTTTGCCTCAGTAAACTCCTAATTACTGCTAATTAATAGTTAGTAAGGTATATGTTTAGTTTAGGTATAGGGTAGGATTAAGGGATGTAGAATATGGTCATGCAGATGTGCTTTATTCTAATGAACAGCCAATATCCTAGTAATACGCATGCTAAGCAACTAGTTAATAGTGAGAATTGTACCCTAAACTAAAGTGTTACCAAAAGTAATTTTTTAGCTTTTTTAAATGATTTTTATTTTCTATGAAAATGCACTTCTCAACAAAATCATTAGCCTGACTTCGTCATACTCATATTCTAGTCAGAATGTGAGTCTGATACTGCTCCATAGGGCTTTGATTATGAGGCGTGTCTTAACCGAACCAGGAAAAAAAAAAAAACTCTGCACTCAATTGGATAGACCTACAACCAATCAGAGCAACGCAGTAAGTGTTTTTTTTATGAGCTACGCAAATTGTCAACAGAACTCACCTGCACGCACGCTGGAAGAAGTAGTAAAATAATAAGTGTTGCTTCTTTTACTTGGTTCTCCATGAGTGCGACCAAAGGAGAAAACACAACGCGTTCCCTTGGAATTATAAGGTTCTATCTGCGTTCTGAGCAGTTTTGAGATATTGAGCTTCAAAGTTTTTGCATTACATATAGGAAAATGTATATGGGGAACAAGTTTCTTTCAAACATGAAAATAACAGGGACCCTAAATGTATTCTAAATATACAACATCAAAATCCTCTCAAATTTGTAAATGTTTTTTTTTGGAATGGGTCAAACGCAGATAGAACCTTCTAATTCTAAAAAAAACACTTTTCGCTTAGAATTATAAGGTTCTATCTGCCAAAACATTATTTGAACATTAAATATAAAATTAATGTTGTGTAAATGTCTCAACATGTGTTAGAAAGTAAAATTTTATCCTTTCTATGTCATTTATTTCATATTTTTTAGCACTTCCATGTATTTAGGACATTTCAAATTAAGCAAGGTAGGTCTAAATATTTTGTCCAGTGCAGAATCTTAATTTTCGTTACCAATTTGGTGGGTAATTAAACACATTATTGCAGAAATTGTTACTTTAATCTTTCTTTTGTTTAGACAGAAAGCAGCTACTGTAATACATCTGAGCAGGACTTTCTTCCAGCTAAAGTGGGCCAGGTGAAATGGCTTTCTCTCTAGACATCAGTATGGCTGAAATAACATGCTAACGTTTATTGTTGTAATTAAGACCCCATCAATGAAATTGTTAACTATTTGACCTTTAAGGCTTAAAATTGTAAAAATTAAGACATTTTAAGACTTTAAAAACTACAAGAAAATCGACATGCTTCAGCAAATTAATTCATAAAGTTTAATAATCATTGAAAAATGATTCACTGACTATTATGATCACAAGAAATGTCAGACAAATTTTTTAATCACACACACACACACTCTCTCACTCACACACACACAGTCACACACTTTCACACACACACACACACACGCACACGCACACACACACACACACACACACACACACTCACACACACACACTTTCACACACTCGCACACACACACACACTTTCACACACTCGCGCACACACACACACTTGCATGTTAAATGTTTTTTTTAAATATTCAATTTACTCACTGAATATTTGTATAATTCAGATAATAATAACTATAATAATAATATTAATAATAACCTCATTGATAATTAATAATAATAACCAATACACTATAAAGAAAATGGCCAAATTGAAGCCACTTCATAACACTACACAATTTAGTGAATATTTCATTTACTGTAAATGTATAGCATTATGCCTTTATGGGGTTTCTTTTTGTCTTCAAGGAAAAATCCGGCGACATGACATATAAAGTTGATTCTGATTGGTCCTCTTCTGTACATTCGAAGTGCTGATTGGCTCACGCAGATAGAACCTTATAGAGCCAAGTTAGAGTTCAATTTTGTAGATAGAACCTTTTTGTTTTTTCAATAAAAAGTCCCACAATGGACACAATTTAAAAAAACACATCACATAATGTAAATAAGTTGTCACAGAATAAGAATATGTGAATAACTCAATTTTGACAAAAATGTCAGATAGAACCTTATAATTCCAAGGGGACGAACTGTTACGACCACAGGGTTTTCATTGCGTCCCATCTTCTTAGCGACCATCGGAGCCAGCTGATAAATTAAACTTTTGCCGAATCCTGTAGGAAGGACAGCAAACACATCTTTCCGATCGACAAATGCCTTGATTGCAGTTCTCTGTTCGTCTTTTAAAATGAATGCGCTGTCGATTTCTTTTACAACAGACGCGATAGCGGAATCTATACATCTCAGTTCTCCAGCTGCAGTCACCTTTGAGGGAAACCAGTTCAACCCAAGCGCTCTTTGATAACGTGATAAATTACGTAACTGCAGATCATCTGTCCATCATCGTATAAAGCCCGCCCTGGCAATTTGATTGGCCCGACTAATTCTAAACCGATCATAATTACTCCTCAATGGATCGAGTCCAGACCGAACTTCCCAACCAAAAAATGTTGTGGGCGGGGTTCGGGCTGGCATCCAGGCTACAAAATCATGTCAATCATTCTAAAATGATTAATTCTGTAATAGCTATTCAAGTCATCTTGTGAAAATGCCTGTATTTTATAATATCGTAACATATATTGAAAAACTAAATATTGCCCTAGTAGGGCATACTGACATTGCAATATTTTTTTTTTCATTGCCTGTATAAATAAAGTGACATGACTCCCTCATCCGAATACGTTAGTTTTATTACAGAGGAGCCATGCAAATGTTCTTTTACAGACATCACCCTGGGAAACAATTAAAGTGTTTTGTGAATAATGCTGGGATGGATGTACAGTGACCCTGTGTGAGAGGACAGATGAGGTGCTGAGAAATAAATGTGACTGAGGCTCTGTGATGGCCTCTGGGAGCCAACAAGGATTCTGGGAAATACATCTGACCTAACCTAGACCCGATCACTCCAGCATTATTTGTGTAAAGCTAGTGACAAGAAAAGCGAGAGTCCTTAATTTAATTGTTTTCACTGATTTCATCCACGTTCCGCCCCGACGTGTTAATCTCTGATTCAACCCTTTCAGTATTTTGTTTCTCTGATGAAGAAGAGCTGAACGATCTGGCGATTGTGTTTTATTATGGTTTCTCTCCATCTTGTTTATTTGCCTTCTCTATTCTCCATCCCGGCTTCGATCCTTCTCTATTTGAAATGGTTTCTGTTCTCTTGTTTATTTCCTCTAAGCGTGTCTGAGTCAACCTGCCTGATCTGTCTGTAGCACTGAAGACTGTTTCTGTCGGCACTTTATTCTCGTCAACGTTTCACTGGCCTCTTTTCGTCTTTCACAATCCAATCTTTTCAATTGCCATGGCGTAACCTCCTTTTTCCATCGCTCAACTTGGAGTTAGCTGGAACATCTCTCTATAACTGCCTTGCTATTTTTCTTTTTCTGCTTCAATACAGGCTTTAGTAAATGCTAAATATGTTGCCGTCTTTTCTTTGTATTCAAATTGGTCCTTGTAACAAAACCCACATGTGCTCTGGCGGCAGGGGTAGCAGGGTGGGGTCCTCGCTGAACGTCCCCCTTCTCATCTCTACCCCTTTGATCTGGAGACTCATGGGTCTTCTTCGCTGAGCTCTTAGATGGGTGACATGACCACGGAAAGACCCCCTTCAACCCTCCATACTGCCTCCAGTTAGAGAAACAGACAGAACGGGGATCGGGGGAAAAAAAGACCTGGTTTTATTTTTTGTTATTTGTAAAATTTTGAAACTCCAGGAGAGTAACAGTCTCTGGCTCCAGCGCTTCAACCACTACTGTTTATTTTTCAGAGCATGAAATTAACTACAGAAAGGAGGAGAAGAAAAAACTGAGTGAGACAGGAGTGCATATATGTGAATGAGCAATAGAGACTGTCTCTGTGCTGTTTGGTCTACGCTCGTTCTACTGATACCATGTTTAATTCTGTACCATTTCCGCTGCCCTGGGCACTGAGAAGCAATGTGATAATGCATTTAAAGGTACAGCAGGTACAGCAGATTTGCACAGCACAATTATTCAATAGCCACCAGATGAGCCATTTTAGTACAATTAGACCATGCTTCTTTACAAAAGAAGTACTGGAAGTAGCATGGTACAGTTATGGTGTGAGATGACAAGTTATTTTATGGTTCCTTGTGCAAAAAAGCATGGTGATACCATGGTATCTTTTTGTAAGCAAAAGGGATCCATGCTAAAGTAGTCAATGTAAAACTCGCAATGAAAAGGTGTTGTGGGTGGTTGCCAGGGTGTTGCTATGTGGTTTCTAAAGGGTTACCAAGTGGTTGATATCATAGGGATTCTACTTAGTTGCAGGATGTTGTTATGTGGTTGTTAGATTCTTCTGAAGTGGCTGTTAGGGCTTTCTAGTTGATCTGGGTAGTTGTGGTTTAAGGGGTTACCAAGTGGTTGATATGATAGGGATTTCTACATAGTTGCAGGATGTTGTTATGTGGTTGTTAGATGCTTCTGATGTGGTTGTTAGGGCTTTCTAGTTGGTCTGGGTAGTTGCCAGGGTGTTGCTATGTGGTTTCTAGGGTATTCTCATTTGCTAGGGTACTTTTAGGTGTTTGCTAGAGTATTCTGGATAATTGCTTATGGCCCAAATCTGTATAATATTCTGGTACCCAGATATGGCTCGAGTCCCTTCTTCAATGTACATGTAGTTCTAATAAATTGTTTACCTGTTCAATAAATCACTCTTTCCTCAACAAGTCAATTTCAGGTATCTTTTTTGTTTTATGTCCATAGCACAAACGGTGTTGGAAGAGTTACAGACCAAAATGTAACACTTTGAATGCGTCTGATCATTCAGTATCTCCAACCCCAAGTATGAGCAGTAGTAATAGTTATAATTGCCCTAACGATCACCACTACCAATAAATAAATAAAAGCACAAACTTCACGTTTTTTCAAGCACAAATGCAATTTTTTAAGTCAGTTTAATGAATTTTAGATCTCATGTTGGGGCCAAAAGAGGTGGGAACTGAAGTGATCTGTGTTTTGGGGATTCTCTGGTTCCTCAGAACTGTAGTGGTGAGTGGTATGAAAATGTGTAAGAACACTGGGCTCGTCATTCAATTTATTAGTGGATCCCAGGAGACTCTCCAAGCAGAAGTAAATGAAGGGTCATTGGCATTACAGCAGTAACGCCTTCAGAGACCAGCTTCTCCATCTGCAGTCAAACTATACCTCATGAAATGCTGAGAATATTTGCAAATCTGATTTAACATCAATTTGCTCCTTGAAATTTGATGTCAGCGGATTATAACTGGCTTATGTTGGAAGGTTTATGTTTGTCATAAAGATCCTAACCTGCAAGGACCTATACATACATGTATGTGCACAATCTCATGTAAATCAGCTCTCACTTTGACTGAAATAAAATCATGTGGGAGTATGTTTGTTTAAAACTGGAACAAATCTCTGATAACCTTCTTAAGATAACTTGTGTCATTCAGTGACAAGCAGTACTTTTAAAAGTATAAAACAATAGACAATGTTGCATTTACAATGTCTCTGTCCAATTTTTATTCCCATAGCCAAAGCAGAGCTGGAGCTCCAGGAAAAACATCTCACTGACACGCAGAGGATGTAAGTTATCATACTAAGTTTATCGTGCCAAGTGTCTTGTTCACTTATTATGTGTCATATTGGTTGTCTCCTCAGAGAGGTGGATGTTAATACATAAACACACACTCAGTCGCTCTCTTTTTCAAACTCTGTTTTTCCCGTACTTCTCGTACTAATAGTGCAATCCACTGAGATTGATTGACAGTTAGTAGATTGTCTCCTTTAAAAAGTTCCAGTTTTAAAACCTTGGATCTTGGAGTGGAAAAAAAGAGAGCAAATTTGACACATCAATTAATTTTAAAGGACTTTGTGTTCATTTTCTGAATATTGCAGTTTCTTCCAAGTACTAGACTTATGCATACCAAAAGATTGCTGTGGGCGAAAAGAAATTACACTTGTCATTCTTTATGTAAGAGCATTATTTTTATAAGCTAAAATTTCACATTTCACATGCTTCAAGTAAGCCGATCAATTTCACAATTCCTCAGTGTAAACTTTCTAATCTTATTTTGTAATATTTTGTTCATAGTGTCATGCTTTTCTTTGTATACTTTCCAGTTTTGTGGAGCTGAGCGTGTTTTTCTCGGTCAAGCCTAAGGCGGGAGAGAAAGAGGTTTCACCGAGCACATTCTTCACAGCGTGGCACGAGTTTTCATCAGATTTTAAGGAGTTGTGGAAGAGAGAGAACAAATACCTACTGCAGGAGCGGTGAGGAATATTATGCCTCTTTTGTCGTTGTGTTTGCTTAATTGCTTCACTGTAATACAGTATATTGAATTTCATTGGTATATTATTTTAGGTTGAAAGCCGCAGAAGAGACCTTCAAACAAGCACGAGAGAAGGCTAACTACAACGTAAAACCTAAACATGCATCAGGAATAGTAAGTCTTTCAAAATCCCTCAATTCACATTACAAACAATGAATAACAGCGTACATTTTAATTGCAACCAGGATCTTACTCTTTCTTCTCTCACTCAGAAAGCCAAGCTGGGACAAAAGATGTGACTTTCTGCTGTGCCGAATCCAACAAAACTCGTTGTTTCCCCTGTTATTTAATTCCTCCTCTTTTTTCTTTTTTTTTACTTTACAGTTACTTCAGCATAAACGTAATAGCCATGAGACAGGTCGACCAATGAAGAAATGCTGACCTTGTTGTCACTGACATTTAATAAAATGGAATAACTGAATACATAAAGAAATGGCAATCTCCGGATATAATGTTCGACTTTGACCTGTGTAAAGTCTTAAACAGTCAGTGTGTCTTGGTTCATATAGGAGGAGAAAGAGCCATCAGATGAAACCAACCTATTCTTTAACTGGATAATATTCTGCGTCCATAGTTTCCTCCAAATGCGTTTACCTACTTCAACCTATGAAATTTACACATCGTTGAATGATTTGTAGTGAATTTCTCTGTAACGACTGAACTGTGAGGTGTTTAATGAACAGTTGTTGAAAACATATGCAAATGCCATTCTTTATTGTGTGTGTACAGCTGTTATCAGTTCACTGTGTGCAATAACCTTTCAGATTTACCAAAATGTATTTTAAATTAAAGCTGACAGCTTTGTATTTCATGTGTGATCATTTCTTTGTTATTTATGTATGTACTACATGGTTAAGAAATGAAATGGAGCAGCTGCATATGAATTATGTGATGTCATTTCCTTATGGAGGAATTTGTAGAAGATAATTACAAACAACACAGAGACGCATAAAAATACTGCAAAGCAAAAGTCGTATTGTAATGTGAAATAATAGATTTATTTTTTAGAAGATGTTCATTTTATATTTGACACATATATATATATATATATATTCATAGATTTTCTATGGTTGATTTGTCATAAATTCCTTTATCTAAACATTTTTGCTATTTTGTTAAATATTGTCATTAATGAGTGTGTCTGTTAGACTTTAAGGTATCTCAGTTTATGTTGTGCACATTGTGAATTATCATAACACCGGCAAGGCTCAAACTCTTTACAGGCTTGATCAAAGTCAGCCCATATTGGATGAACTGAAACCAACGGCATCATTCCATTGTATGCAGCAAAGCCAATATAGCACCAAGTCAAAATCTAGTTTTTCCACCACTGATTTCCTGCTTAGTCAAAATATAGTGAACCCCCTCTAATTTGCCGTCGATAAGGTCCACAGTCCCCCAGCATTCTTGCATGTTTTCAACTGTCCTTCATTATTGCTGATACACACAACAGCTGGGTAGGTAAAACAAGATGGTGAAGATATGCTGGTCAAACAGTTTCCACTGTTCTCAAGTATCAAGACCAAGGTTGCATCCCAAACCCCTACTATATAGTAGGCGAAAACCAGTATGAGACAATAGAACTATGTCCGAATTCACAGTACTCAAAAATGAGTAGGCAAAAAGTACCTGGATGACCTACTACCTCTGGCGAGATTCTGAAGTATGTATACATGCATGGATTTGGGAATAACAGTGAAGCAACGCAAATGCTGGTAGGTCACATGATAATGACAGCATGGCAATTGTAGTACGTGCAGATTATATTCATACTCCACACATAGCCATATAGAACATACGTTTTAAGTGGCCGTGAACTAGCTAATTACTTATTCACAATAATACCTACTCAAGAGAGCATGCGATTTTGGACACAGCTTAATAGAGTGCAACAGTGCCCACCCACTTTTTCGGCCTCATTTATAAAATAAAAACCATCCTATATTTGATCTTGCGAATGCGATAATTTTTCCAATGTGCGTACGTGTGATTCAGATAACGAAATAACCATACGCCACCCTTTAAGATGTGAAATTTATAAATTGCAAATGATTTCAGATGGCTTGCGGATTATAAATGTTTTTTTTTTACATTTAACAACTCAAGCTGCAACAAAATTTGCTGTCTATTTGCTGCTATCACTGCTACTGCTTCTCCGACAACGTACACAACAAGCTGCTTCTTCTTCGGCTTGTGCCTTGATACTGTGGGTTACACCATCAACATGCCAATGGACACTGCCCACTAGCAGTCTGCATGTGTAACTGCACGTCGACGCGGACAATGACGCAGAAGTATGAAAACTGATGCGTAGCAGCGTAACAGCGTAGGTCCGACGCAGAAGTATAAGTACCTCTACGCTGTAGGCTACGCGTCTGTTTTCATTTATACCACTGCATCGATTTTTTTTTTTTTTATAAACGAGTCCCTTGGTTCCAGAAGTATTTTAAAATAATCTGTGTTAAAGAGTTGTAAGCCATAAACTAAACCACCCAGCAATGAGGTGAATCACATTTGTGGAATGTTTTTGCAGAATCATGGGTAATGTAGTTTTTCTTCAGGAATTCCGCAGTTAAACATGATTGTTTAAAAAAATATGTTGAAATAATGTAGACTGATGGCTTCAACAGAAGCATTTACCATCGATTAACAACCTCGTAGATCACACAGGGTTGGAACTTCATCAATTCTCCTATGGATAAAATGAATAGGATTTTTACTTCCGGAACCCAACTGTTGCACTCTATAGAGAATTGCTGAGGTAAGGCAGGAGAACGCTGGGATACAGACGCTCCATCCGTTTTGAAAAAGAAAACTTTCAAGAGATCAAAGATCAAACATATTGTTAATTTAACACAAGAATGTTATTTACTGTTTCAGTCTTGTATGTAGGCTAGTTGAACTCTCAGGTTCTTTATATTTGTCAAAAAAGAAGAAAAATCCAGCATTGTTTCCATTGCTGTGCTGCTCGGCAGCTATTAAGCATTCCCGTAGAGCATAGTGCGGTACAGTCCAGACATAATGAAGGTGGCCAGTCTTCTGATTAGCTGTTGTCTTTGGCACGTTTCACACATTGATTGTTGGGGCGGCCCCAGTTTTTCCAAAGAAGAACACCCTAAAGCATTGTTTCGTATGTGCACCTTCTCAGTATGCAGCACTGACATTAACAGACACACATTTGCACTGCTTGATCCGTTGCACTTTCCGTTGCCGGTATGGCGGCTGCAGCCCAGGGCAGTGAAGCCGTACGGTGACCGTGGTTATCCGGCTTGGCCGGCAGAACGCACAGGACTGGAATGAAGTGTGGTGGTCTGGCGTGGATGCTGTTTTTCGACTTCGATGTGAAGCTTGAGACGTCAGGTGGCGTGGGATGTAGAAAGAGTTACACTGGCCGTAGCAGAACCGGTTGATGACAGTTCGGCTCAGACAGCCCTCCAAGCTCACCGTTTGACGTAATGGCTGTGTTTTGCACCAGTCGCTCTTCAGGTACTTCCTCTCAGTGACTACCAGGGCCTCGCGACTCGACGACAGCATGTCGTGTTTACCCTTCTGTCGTTGTGCTGATGTGTGCTGGGGCAATGCCGCTAGTGTGTGGGATGGTGATGACAAATCATTGCCTTTTAGCTTGTATGGGGAGGGGATGGAACCTTGAGGGCGGGGCTTCTTGGTCTCCGTAGACACAAAAAGGGTCCATGCCAAAATGGCAGGTATTGCCAGCTTCCAGAACATCCTGAGGAAAGATTCAAAATAGGGAAACCTTTAGTGCCTCTGGTACTGATTCAAATGTATACATTGTCAAATGAATGGTCAGTCATATATATTGATAAATGTTTAATTGTAAACTGTACGTACGTTTAAACCTACTTACTATCATTTACTCAGAAATCAGACAACACTAATTGGTATGATTTTAATTAACATAAGTAGAAGGCCGATAAATAATCAGTACTTTGGCTAGTACTAAGAAATATTGCATTTTCACTTGACCTGCTCATGTGACATATGTAGCCTATAATAATCTCCCCAAAATCATGATCATTCACCACCACTATGGCAACCCCCAAAAATTCTATTATCAACTTATTCTAACCCTAACCCTGCAGTCTAATAATCTAATGAGAGTTAGTAGACATGTAGGTGCAATGCTACTTAGTCAACAAAATGAGTTAAAGGGACCATCAAAATAAAGTAAAACTGTAATTTCTGCAGGAATCAGCGTCTGGTTCGAGTCATAATGTTTAGAGTATTGGTGTTGCAGCGTCACTGAAGTAGTGCAGGAAACCAGTAAAAAGTAAAGTAGTGTGAGTACACGGACACTACAACGGTCATGATATGACGTCAGCCTAAATTTAATATATAACAAATAATAATAAAAACAAAAAGTAAAAATATACAACCCACTCCACTTTACTGCAAAAAAATGTGTGCTCTTTTAATTCAGGCAAGAGGTCAAGTCGTGGCAAGTACATGGCATGAACGCAGACAAAGTCCTTTTAGGCAAGTCATGCCACTCAGCCGCCATCTTGGCAACGCCTCCGGGCAGCTATTTCGGACTAACAAGACCAGGCTCCTATCTAAATGAATGGGCAGAGAGTCAGAACTGCACTTTCACTGGTCACCAGGACATAAAAACGGCTTGTATGGAAACAGCAGTAAAATATGATAAAAATCGCTGAAAAAGTTTGATGACTTTGCCCCAAAATAAGGTTTAAAAGGCCTTTTTCCCCACAGGTTATACGTTTACTACGCATGCGCAAGGGTTCTCGTCTCCGCTGTCGCAAACCTCAACTGTGTGCATGAGTCAGTGGAACCAGACGATAGGCTTACATGTTTCCCGGCTTGACTGTTAAAAGCAGACGATTGGCTTTCCAGCGGGAGGGGCGGGGCATGTGCAGACAACCGCCATCTTTGGCGTAACGGGTTTTCCCTATATAGTTGTATTGAGGATTGAGGAAGTGGCATGTCTCTATATAAATTGTCTCTGCTTTAGATAAAGGGGTTTGAGTGATTAATAATCAGTATCTAACCTAATGAAAAAATATTTATTCATTGTTACCCTCATTATTTTCATCTGCAAAAGCATTGTGAACGGTAGGAAATTCAATTAGACTTAATGTGGAGGATGTGACAAAATGATTGACTGGCCAGTTTAAACGGTTACAGGATGCACATAACTAAGTGACAAAGCAGTCCGAGACGCAATTATGATGAAGTATGTCCCAAAGACACCACAAATGATTATTATGAGTTATTAGCATGGTGTATCCATGGTTGTGTCATGATAACCATACAACCAT